GGTTGGGGACCCCCGCTATAATCCATCCATCCATCCATTTTCTGAACCCCTTTACCGTCACAAGGGTCGTGGAGTTGCTGGAACCTATCCCAGCCATCTTCGGGCAGTAGGCGGAGAGGCTCACAGAGACAAACAACCATCCGCGCTCCCACTCACACCTAGGGACAATTTGAAGTGTTCAATCAGCCTGTCATGCATGTTTTTAGAATGTGGGAGGAAACCGGAGTACCCGGAGAAAACCCACACAGGCCCGGGGAGATCATGCAAACTCCACACAAGAAAGCCAGAGTAGGAATTGAACCCAGTACCTCTACACTGTGATGTCGACGTGCTAACCACTGGACTACCCCCAACCCTTTAATAAACATATTAAATCAATCTCTCAGTGTTTTTCACAAACGAGGCATTTCATATTGCTAGGACTTGGTTTGTATTTGGATCTTACAACACTGTTGTGCTGTGTTATAAATGTGGGTGGTAGAGAGTGAGCCACATGTGTTGGAATGGTCAAACCTTGGTTTGTTTTTGTGTGTCCTAATTAGTTTTGAATTTGTTACGATTCTATTTGTCTTTCCATTAAGCCTGGTCCCAGGGTGACCCCCGGAAAATCCTGTATCCCACTGACAGCAGAGGGAACTTCTGTGGGCAAAAAGGAACAGAGCAGGAGTGAGTCATTGGACAGGTAATAGCGGAACGTAATGGTGCAGTCAATAATACATGTTGCTCTTCTCTACATATCATACAGGGGCAAGCATCTGCTGTTTTACTTCAATATTCTGGCGTGTGCCAATCCCGTGGTGTTGGTTGAGCTCCAGTGTCCCACAACGCAGGTCACCGACACGACAAATGACTTTTTCAAAATGGTCATGATGGTTTTCAATCTGTTTTTTTCGTCTCCTGTTCCAGATATGTGTAAAGCGCTGTCCTAACAAACATCTCACGTTGCATGAATCCCAGAAAAATGAAAACGATCGGGAATATTTCACAAGGTTTTGCAAGCCAGGTGTAGAAAATTTCAAGGTATAACATGCACAAACTTTATTGCACAGCTATTTTTTTTTGTTTGTTTTCATAAATGACTTTAGTTTGTGCATTTTTTGTTGAAAAAAAATCCTCAAAGCTGATCCATTTGTGTGTACACATGATCTGAGGCGGTTCGAAATTTGTTTCCAGAGTAAGCACAAATATAAGTACGAATATATTCACGTGACGTGAATATATTCGTACTTACAATTGTAAGTCTCCACATTTGACACGTAAATCACGTGTCAAATGTGCAGATGCGCGGTTTGTGAATTAGGCCCAATGTGTGGTTTGTTTTCATGACATTGTGTAATTGCTATGATAGGCCTTTCTCAGGATTGACAGGTTTTGATATTTGTACTCAAATGATACTGTGTATCAAATATCGTGTCAAATTTCACTCGAGGGATTTTTCTTTTTTTTTTTTAGACTATCAGTGCAAAGAGGCCGTATTGCCCTACTGCGATCTTGGCCAGCAAAGTCTGTGAGTGTCAAACGTGTCTCATCCTCGGAATACATGAACAACATCGTGATGTCACATGTTACAAGTGTGTCCTTATGCTCCTTTTGTAGTTGCACGTCGCTGCATTCCTTCCCTGTCAAGGTTAGATGATGGCACAATTGTCGTGGGCAATGAGAGCTCGGTTAAAGTTGGCAATGATCAAGTTTCCGCCGGCGAAGTATACAATGCGACCAGGTGAGTCTTTTTCACAATAATAGTCACATATAATCTGGTAATATTACCCACATGGCTAATAGAATTGATTGAGGTTTTAAAGGTATTGCATGCTAATAATGTATTTGTCGCCACTAACAAGCGTTCTGTGTGATCACTTCAGAAGAAACCGCAACCAGTCATTATTGTGCTAATGCTACATTTTGCAACTGGTTTTAATGTCATTACATTTGAATTATTGTGCTTTCCTTCCAGGAAGGCCAACATGCGTCTTGAAGCTCGCCAGTTGGCCATGAAAATCTTTGAGGATTACACTCAGTCTTGGCAGTATATCGTGATGTAAGGACATGTGAATGACACAGAAATGCATGAAATAATCAAAATGTAGCCGTCTCAGGAAAAAAAAGAAAAGCTTCTCTGGCTACATTTTGTAAATGCAAATATGGTATACTGTGACCCTCAAATTTGTGCACTTTGATATTTGCCATTTCAAGCGCTCTGACGGTAGCGACGGTTAGCAGCTGGTTCTTCATAGTTCTGCTACGCTTCCTGGCAGGCATCATGGTCTGGATCATGATTGCCCTGGTCATTGTAGTCATAGCCTACGGTAAATCTCCTTTTTGCCTCTTAAGAATGTGACTCCAAACAGCATTTGTGCCTCAGTTACCACAGTTCTGCTTTTATGTAGCACCAAGAATGTAAAAGGGACTAAACATTGGGTTTGTCCTTAGGTGCGCTACATTGTTACCTACGGTATCAAAGTCTGATTGGGGACACTTCCGCTGATGCGACCATCCGTGATCTGGGAATGCAGAGTGACATCACGATCTACCTTGAGATCCGACAAACTTGGCTCATATTCAGTACGCTCCAGAATGCGCCACTTATACTCAAGTCACCCAGCTAGTGTATTGAGACTGTTTTAATTCCTTCCACTTTTACAGCAATCACCCTCGTCGTTGTGGAGTTCCTCGTCCTCGTGACTCTCATCTTCCTTCGGAAGAGGATCTTGATCGCCGTCTGCCTCATCAAAGAGTCCAGCAGGTCAGCCTCCTTTCAGGCCACTATTCCTTCGTCAGTATGTCATTTCCATCAGTTCCGTCATCTTTACAGTTTCTCACCACTATGATCAAGTGTGGTTACGTGCCGGGAGGCGCGTTGTTTGAAACTAAAACTTTGCTCCTTTGCCTATTTCGCCATGATAGGCCAAAATGAACTTTTGGCGGTACCCACAGCCATCGAGAACGTATGTACATGCTATGTCATACGTCTCACTTGTGCGGAGAACAAGCAGACACACGGCCTCATAAAAACATCAACACATCGTTTGGTGAAATAGCGGGACAATATCATTGCGGTCTGTCGGACCAAGAGGTACACAACACGGCCAGTTTCTTTCCCCAAACGGGACGGAGACAAAAATGAAAAAGGAGCAGCTGGGAAGTTGTGACTTGAAAGCATTGTTTACAGCTGTTGGAACTGTCAACCAAAGTAACCATTTAGCAAACAACATAACCATCACTCACCAGATTGATTAGGGATGTTCAAATTTTTTTTTTTTTTGTCTGTTGGAGGGTGAGGAGCACTTCCTACTGTCCAATCAAGTCAACGCTGGTGTAGTCACTCTCGTGAACAACACACGAAACTCGCGTTGCGATATTTCCCGTTTTGGTCTGAATGTTGCATTACGGTTTAACTGGTTTCGAGATTAACTGGTTGTCGATTGCAGCTGCGGCTGTGTCGATCTCAGTCCAGTAATTTTGTGGTTCCTGTCTGAAGATTCGTCGTAATGTTAATAGTTTATCGATATAACTGCTCAATCAACTCATCTTGCTATATGTTAGCATACCAACTGTTAGCATTTGAGGTATTCTTTCAAAAAAAAACAAAAATAGACCTGACCACAGGCAGACAATCCTTCTCGCACTGCCTCCCTGCTTTTTGTACTCAGCTTGATGATGAATTTCATGATTTACTTGAAAAAAAATCTTTTCAGGGCACTTGGACATGTGACATCATCATTATTCTACCCATTGTTGACTTCTTTCCTCCTGGCAGTGGTGATAGCTTACTGGGCGGTCACTGCAGTGTATCCTTTCACTTCAGATAGTAATCAGGGATGCAGACATTTCTCCTGTTTCTTTGTCCACTGGGTTCTTTTTGTCACCTTAATATCTTTGCCATTCAGATATCTCGCTACATCTAATGCTGAAGTGTACCACGTATTAGCCAATGAGACTTGTCCACACCGTTTTCACAAATGCGATCCCAAGGTGATGAACCAATCTCCGCCTCATCACGTCTTCTGTGTTTCTAGCGTGAAACATGTTCACATATCATTTATCCACAGACATTCGCCACATCTGATGTGAGGCGAGAGTGTTCTGAAGCGGAGTGTAATTTTGCCTACTACGGTGGGGACACCCTGTACCACAAATACCTCATCGTGTTCCAGTTTTACAACGTCTTCCTCTTCTTCTGGTGTTGCAACTTTGTGACGGCCTTGGGACAGGTCACTCTGGCTGGGGCCTTTGCCTCATATTACTGGGCCTTTAAGAAGCCCGACGATATGCCCCCCAACCCTGTCTTGTCGTCTCTGGCACGAACTCTCAAGTGAGAAGACGGATTTGTGAAGTTGATGACTTACAGCGGATTCGTATTTGTGACAAGTTTTCTTTGCCTGCCAGATATCACACAGGCTCAGTGGCATTTGGCTCATTGATCCTGTCGGTGATCCAGATCATCAGGGTTCTTTTGGAGTACCTTGATCAAAAGCTGCAAGGTACGATTTAAAGCAAATGGATATGAATATTAACGACTTTCACACACTGCACTCATTATTCTCAGTTTGCCCCCCCAACTGAAAAAAACCCAACTTCAGTACTTCACATCAAGTTCCAAAATGAACCAAATATTTCAGGCCTCATTAGAAGCCTAGTTCGTCGAGGATAGTACATCGACTATAGATGCCTTACTCCCACCAAAGTGCTGACTGAGTGATTCTTCCTCCTCCTTCAGGTGCCAGAAACAAGTATACTCAATTTTTGCTGAAGTGCATGAAGTGTTTCTTCTGGTGTCTGGAGACATGCATCAAGTTCCTCAACAGAAATGCTTACATTATGGTGAGTTTCCACAAGTACAGATAACATTGGAGTGGAGAAATGTTAGCATACTAATTCAAGTCTTATGATATTATGTCTGTCAAGATTGCCATCTATGGGAAAAGTTTCTGTACGTCAGCTCAAGATGCCTTCATGCTTCTGTTGAGGAACATTGTCAGGTTGGAAATCATTATATGTTTTTGCTCTCACTGGAAACAAAATGCTTCCTTTCCAAATATCATGTTGTTTTGACATTACTCATACCACCAAATCATGAGAAATGTCATATACAGTCAAACCTCGGTTTTCGTCTATAATCCGTTCCAGAAGGCTGTTCGAAACCGAAATTGTTCGAAAACCGAAACCACGCTCTTTTTAAAATAAAAATGTTGACTGAACACGTCTGCTCGCAATGGAAAGCAACACGAGGAAGCGTCACTTCCTCGTCTACCCGAGGAAGCGTCACTTCCTCGTGTAAGGAAGGCGAAAGGAGTCAAATGGTGCATTCAAGTAATTTGTTCGTCATCCGAGGTAGAAAAAACTCGAAATTTTTGGTCGAAAACTGAATTGGACGAGAACCGAGACGTTCAAAAACCGAGGTTTGACTGTACTCCCACCGTCACTCATGTAACACTGCAGAAAAAATATGCGAACATTTCAATAAGGCACTTACGTATCCCCACATGGAAACATTCACACTCCCATTCACCCCTTTCGACAAAGTCGTCTTCAGTGAACCAAAGATCCGAGCCAATGTGGCACCCATGTGCGCTGAGAGCAACAGTGGGTCAAGGCAATTTACTCTTATGCATTGCATTGCTTTCAACACAGGGTGGCTGTCTTGGACAAAGTGACTGACTTCCTGTTGCTCCTTGGGAAACTGCTCATTGTTGGAGTTATTGGTAAGATTGCTCTCGCATCTCTCAAAGGTATCTTATATAATTCATGTGTCCATTTTTTTTCTGTGCAGGAATCATATCTTTCTTCTTTTTTACTGGAAGAACGGATTCTCCTCAGTACTCCCCTCCTAATTTGAACTACTACTGGGTGCCAATAATGGTGAGACATATAAAAAATAAAAATAAAAAAAAAATCTCTCTCAACGAAAATCTTGATGAGGCTTCCACATTTTTCGTTTGTGGAATAATTGTGAGGATGGCTACAATCTAGGATATCATTGTTTTGGAGAGCCGCGGCCTGCTTGTGCCTAAAAATAGCCTCTTACAACACATTTGTAGTACCGGTATTATATTTGAGTCAATAGCCATTTAAGATGAATCTGATGTCCCGTCAAAAGCATATCGCTCACTATGACGTCACCCGCTCTGACGTCTGCTAACCAGAGGCTGAGCAGCATTGTGTTGGGAGTAAACGAGTGGCGAAAGCATGACACAGCTCCTCTTCCTGCCACCTACGTGATTATGTGTCATGTAAGAATTTGGTGCACCTCTACAATGTAGCAACAAATAAAAATAAAAAAAGATCCAAAAAAAGAATATAATCCGTTTTTTTAACGAACTGTCGCTTTTGGGTCCTGACCCACAAGTTGAGAATCACTGATCGAGAATACAGTAAATGTAATAAGATCTGATCTTTTTTTTTTTTTAAGTGTCGTTGATGCTACGAGTCCCAGAATGTACAGCAAAAGCTTCCGCGTGCAGTCTCCTCCAAAAGTATTGGAACGGCAAGGTCAATTCCTTTGTTAATGTTGTGTAATGAAGACATTTGGGTTTCAGATGATGATCAAAAGATGAATATGAGACCAAAGTTCAGAAGTCCAGCTTTCATTTCATGGTATTTACATCTAAATGTGTTCGGTATACCACAAAAAACGAAGGAATCGATCGAGCGTTTCTAATACGGTACTTTCGGAGGGAACTGCTTATTGTAGTGCTCATGGAGCTTGTTTGAATACTCTTTGAAGTGGTATTTTTTTTTTATCCGTGGTGCTGAGTGCTTGATGTAGGTTTTTTCCCCTCCTTCAATTAGACAAATATAATTGGATCCTACTTCATTGCCCATGGCTTCTTCAGTGTGTACTCCATGTGCGTTGACACACTCTTCCTCTGCTTCTGTGAGTATTTTTCATTCCTCCTTGCCCTGTTGTGCTATTTCCTATTTATGAACTGTTCTTTGTCAAAAACTGAGCTGCTAGTTTCTTTCATTTTCATGTTTTCATTTATTTTACCCCCCATTTACCTCAAACCCACTTCACCTAACTGCACTCGCTGTAAAGGTGAGGACTTGGAAAGAAACGACGGCACCCCTGGAAGGCCTTACTACATGTCCCCCGAGCTGCGTGATCTCATCGGTTTAGGGAAGAGGTCTGAGGGAGACGGAGACGATGCAAACCAAGCAGGTGCGGGGGAAGAGGAAGCTGCTCAAGTGGAAGAAGGCCAGGTTGAACTGAAACTGGAGTCACCAGTCTCTCACTGGTATGTGGACGACGAACCTCGGCAAGCGGATTATGAAGAATTGACGGAGAAGAAGGCGCGACGGTACGAGACACAGGCGCAAGCGTACAAGACCGAGAACCAAACACAGGAGACCAAGGGGCAAGCAGTCAGTAAAAAAGGCGCGTTGGAAGAGGAGCAAGCCGGGACGGCAGTGGTAATGAGGCCGCAGCAGCAGTTGCGGTCGGAGGCACCTCCGAATGTGGAGACGAATGAGGAGAATCGTCGGAGAGCTGAAGAATCCAAGTGAACAGAGGAGGAGCATGAAAGAACCTCAATAATTACAATGTTGTGGCTCTAAAAATAAATGTACAGCAAGATTTGGTGACCCGGAGGAGGTTGCTGCTCAAAGTATTGGGCCCAGTGTGTCTATAATGCTTAAAAATTGTGTTGTTCTTAGAAAAGCGTTGGTTTGAACGTGTCGAGAAAATGCGTACGCCGTGCCTGACCACTGTCACTGAAACACCCTATGTTGTCTGTTAATGCACTACACGACTTACATTTTAATTTGATGCGCATCTCGATGGAAGTGTTATCGTTTTACTTGATTTAAAATGATACCAGCAGAATCGTGCATGTGAATTGAATATCCTTTTTTCTTTTGATACGATCTTTCCGCAGTACTGTGTAAGATTCTTTGCTTCATTCTTGTAAAGCGACCCACACCATGTATCGTGTTTTACTGCCAAGTATTTGCCTTGATACTGGACTGGCGTTAAGTGCTGTGATTTGTGGCTCTATAACGCAGCCATTGTGACCTCTTGGACTGCTAACCTCCCCTTGCCTGCCTTTCTCTGGCCTTACCCTCTTCTTAACGTGCCACATGATGTCGACATGAAGACATGTTCACACTGCAGGCCATGAAACCCAATTCGCACTTGAGGTTCTATCCGATCTTTTAAATGCTCAATCTAACTTTGCAAAAAAAAAAACAAACTTGAGAAACGTATGTCAACTTTCCAGCATTTGCTGATTGCATTCCATATTGTTTGGTTTTGGTCATGATTAAAGATTATTGCATTTTGGTAACATTGGTTGTGATTAAGGATGGGTATTCATATTTTATCAGGACTACTACTCTTAAGAATACAGGTTACCAATCTGGTGCCTTAACAGCATTGTTCTTCAGTATTATAAACCCCCCAAAATGATTCGAACTCCCACTGCTTTTTGGAGTGAATGTGCTTGCACCTACAATGACATGAATGTGAGGTTTGAATTTTTTTTTGAAGAACAAATCACTATTACATTGTTAAGCATTATATAAACAATGTAAAGTAAATTGTGTTGAGAAAGGAGGCTGCAAACATGCATTTGGGCTGCAAAATGCATTTCTGTCAGGTCCAGCTGGTACAGAATGCCGCTGCTCGCTACTCTGGCATCCCTTCACTGGCTCCCCATACATTTTAGTTATTTTCAAGATCCTCTTATTTGTTTTCAAATCTCTGAATGACCTCGCGCCACCTTACCTTTCTGAGCTCATCCGCCCCTACACACCTGCCCGGCGCCTCAGGTCTGCGGACCAGACAGAAGTACCAAGAACTAAACTGAGGCTCAGAGGGGATCGAGCCTTTTCTGTTGCTGGTCCCTCTCTCTGGAATGACCTCCCACTGAACATTCGGCAAGCCTCCTCGCTGCCCATCTTCAAAACCTGCCTCAAAACTCACTTGTATTCTTTGGCATTTGACTCAGCATGACTTAAGATTTGTTCTTGGTTTTGCTGTTCGGTGCTTTCTACCGTCTTTATTACCGATTTGCTTTGCTGTTTGTTGTATATGTTAAATTGCTCCATGTACAGCACTTTGTATGCAGCGATGGCTGTTTGAAAGTGCTCCATAAATACAGTTGTGTTGCGTTGAGTTGAGTGGTCTCCCTTCCATTTTAATGATTGCACTTGTGACAATGAGCCTTGAGCAGCGACATCATCCCTCCGGCCCTCCAGTTTCAGACCAAGAATAACGGTTGCATTTGGTGTAAAGAGATTACTTTCGTTGCAACAGAGCTAAACCAATGTGACAGCTTGCGCTGTGTACATTTTTAAAACCTCTCTCCTTGCAGCCCAAGCTCACTAGCAAATGAGATGATGTGCCCAGTCGCCGCCATTGATGAACAATTTCCGATGCCAGTCTTAAAGTAAACTAAACTACAAAGTATAATTCTCAACTAACTTTCCGTCTTGTTTGGATGTACAGTACAGCAACACCAAAATAAATCCATTTACAATCATCCACGAAAGGTCAAGGTCATCTTTATTGTCAACTATGCTCTATGAACAAAAAATACAGTACAGATGATTTTTTTTCCTCTCAATCCTCAGTGCAAACATGCATGTCAATTATAATAGAAGAAAACGAAGGACATCTTGAGCTTTAGTTAGTTCTATAAACATACAATTTTGTTTCAATTGGCTTTTGTTTTTTGAAGCATTGATTTCATTAGCCAAAAGGTGTTTTTTGTTTTTGTCAACCGATAACCTTTTGCACCACAAAATCCTTCACTGCTGTTCAAAATGGTATAACATAAAGAACTGCCTGAAAATGAAAGGGTCCGCTTTTCTGTGACAAATATGACAGGTACGGTAGTCTCATAAAACTGTTTAGCACTACATGTACATTTTAACAATTTATGTTCTCGAATTTGTTGAAATAAACACTGGCTGTGATCTCATGAGTGCGTTCTGTTGTTATTTTGATTTCCGATCAAATACAATGTTAATATTGATGTTGGAGGGAATAGTAAGCTGTTTTATGTGTATGAGAGGGGCACAAAGCTGTGAGTCGGAAAGGCTTCTCTGCAGCACTGGGGTGCCACAGGGGACTGTCCTGGCTCCATTCCTGTTCACCCTCTACACCTCGGACTTCAGATACATCACTCCAACCTGCCACCTTCAGAAGTTCTCTGACGACTCTGCGATTGTAGGCCACATTACAGAGGGAGACGATCGGGAGTACAAGGGACTGACGAAGGACTTCGTGGATTGGTGCCAGCAGAATCACCTCCAGATCAACCCCGGGAAAACTAAGGAGCGGGTAGTGGATTTCTGCAGGAAACAGTCCTCACCTGCACTGATGAACATCCAAGGTACAGCGATAGAGAGGGTAACCTCCTATAAGTACCTGGGTATTCTTCTCAACAATAACAGAGACTGTTACACCCGCGCTGCAAGAAGGAGAAATACCGCCGCTTGTTCCTTACGACTGCTGCCAGGCTGCTGAATAAACATGCGTGAAAACCTGTAAACATTGTAAATAGCACAGCCACCTTTATGTATGCAGAAGATGCATATGTGCAACTTATATTTATATTGCATGCTGTACTGTGTACAGTTCTGTTTCTGAAACATTTATTTTGTGAATGCAACACTTTTTTTCTACCTCCCCCCTAATTTTACTGCTGTAGACTGCAAATTTCCCCAGTGTGGGACAAATAAATGTTATCTTATCTTATGTTATCTGATCTTATCTTATCTTACCTTATTTTGTCTGGTCTGGTCTGGTCTTGTCTTGTCTTAAATTGACACATTAAGGGTAAAACTATGCATTATCTTTTAAGACGTTGTGAACTAAAATGGGCTGGTCTGAGACATGAAACTCCACGAAAAAAAAATCCCAATCCGCCTCTGTCCATGAATCATTCTTATTAACAATTGTTTTAAATGAAGCTACGGGGAATATCTTGCATCTTCACATCTCTTGCCATTGTCTTTAACGCTCCCTGGTTCACATTTCTTTTTGGTGACCAATATCCTTGTTTTTTTTTCCCCCTTTATAAAACTCCCAAGCGCTCAACTCATCAATCAATAAAGATATCAACCCTTGATGACGTTACCCTTATGTCTTTTTGACACTGCGTTGCTATCCTTCAAGGTTTCAAAAACTAACAAGCGTTTGTGACAAAGTATTGCGAGTGGAAAGTACAGTACATATCTGTTTTCACACGTAGCAAGTCAAAGAAAAATAAAGACGTCCTAAGTACAGTTATAAAGTATCTGCAGGTTACTTCCCACCACTGCATCTTTGTTCTCTGCAGATTTTGGCCATTTATCACTACATTGTACGTGATGGCTTCATAACGATCGCGTTGTACGTTGTCAAAGTTAAACACAAATGACATCACAAAGTCCACACTTACTTGTACGTAATCAGAGGAAATTCTGACTCACTAAACAGTCGAGTTTACACGTTGCTAGGCAACGTCGCTCGGCACTGTGAGTGCGTCTTAGTGCTCAACCCATTCTTTGCCTTCCCTTTTACTCAATGAGAAGATTATACCGAAAACATGCTGTTTGAATCGGAAAACACCAAAACTTCCATCTATGACCAAATAGCGGATTTGCAGCGTAAACTTCAACTTTTAGGTAAGTTCGTTTCAACTCGTCGAGGCTCTGATCACTTGTACTTCATCCATGAAACCGACTGCAATAATTTTTATGAACTCACGCTACGTGCCGCCGGGCAGAGAGCGACAGGAGCGCCTACTATGAAAGCTCTCAGTCGGCCTTGGAGAAGAACCGCCAGAACATCTTGCAGCTACGAGAGGAGAACAGGGACCTGAAGAAGAGGGTGTCGGAAGCCGAAGCCGTGAGGACAACACGAGACACTCAACGTGATACCTCGACATCCTCCCTGAGATCATATTGACCGCAATCGACTGTCTTTTCCTCTTCAGGATGAACAACAATTTGTTCAGTCGGCCTTACACGGCCGAGGCGTGGAAAAGGACACCGGACCACCAATGTCTGGGAAGGTTGTATGCACGAACTTTGAATGTACTTGATTATGTTGCCACGCCAACATCAATACGACATCAAAATCGAAAATTCCACATCAAATTGATGTCGACTTGATGTCACGCGCCCACTGGGTTAAAATACCAAAGGGGAGAAAATACTGTATTAGGCTGTGGTATGAGGTGAACATATTTTTGGGGCATCTGTATTGTGTCATAACCGAGTCAAGATGTAAAAAAAAAAAAAAAAAAAAAAATTCGAACATCCTGGAAAAAGTACTGCACGTGCAGTTACAAATCGTTACTGGATGAACATCACGCCTTGGAGGTCTTGGGGCCCCTGGCTAGTTTAGTAATCCAACAGTCTTGAACTCGGGTTTTAAACTAGACAGTGATTTTAAATTTGAAAATAAATTTGTCCCGTTGTTAAATCCATTCAGTTGAGTGAAGTTCCCATAAAAACAACAGTGAGGTTGGATAAAAACACACACACACACACACACACACACACACACACACACACACACACATTTGTGTACAGCACAAGATATTTGTCTATTTAAAACAGGGGTGTCAAACTCATTTCACATTGTGGGCCACATACGGCCTCGGTAGATGTCAAGTGGGCCGGACCATTAAAATTATACCATACTCTGCTATAAATCACCAAAATAACGTGTCTTTCCTTTGTTTTGGTCTAAAGAAGCACAAGAACATGAGGAAAATTTCAAAACTGAATGAACATATCTTACAAAACATTTTATGAAGCACCTTAAATTTCCTTAGACAAATGTGCAATTTAGTTTTATTATTCACATATATGCATTGCAACTGATCCCACTGATTGTACAAAGGCACAAAACTTTTAACAAGTAATTGGTAGTGAAAAATATAGTAATGTGTTTTAAGGTTAAACGAGATTGATAAAGAAAGGAATTTTTCAACCATTTATTATGTGCATATAAAATCTAAATTTAATCCCTCCCTACAAACTGAGGAGAGTGCTATTAAATGTGTAAAGAATAAAGTATTCACCTGTCCTTGATAGCGTCTGCTGTGTTGGGTCTGTCTCGGCGACAGACAGACTGCTGTTGTCTTCTCTGATCAAAACAATGTTGTCTTTTACTCTGATCAAAACAGTGCGTCCCCTAGCGGATACTCCATGAATTGCACCTTATTAAAAATATGAATTCCGTGTCTATGCATTTTATTATTATTTTTTTTACTTTTAAATTATCCTGCGGGCCTGATCAAACCTCCTTGGGGGCCGGTTCCGGCCCACGGGCCATATGTTTGACACCTCTGATTTAAAAGAATGGTGTGGTGGTGACTACGTCACAGGTTCAAACTATTCACCTTTTCATATTTATGTTGGTCGACTACGCCTGCCTCACAGTGCAGAGGTGGAGGCTTTTGATTGCGGGCTGCGATCTTCCTGTGTGGAGTTTGCCTGTGTGGGTTTTCTCCCGGTACTCCCCATTTCCTCCCACATTCCAAAAACATGCTTGGTAGGTTAATTGATCTCTCTAAATTGTGCCTAGGTGTGAGTGTGAGCGCGGATGGTTGTTTGTCTCTGTGTGCCCTGCGATTGGCTGGCAACCGGTTCAGGGTGTACCCCCGCCTACTGCCCGAAGACAGTTGGGATAGGCTCCAGCATGCCCATGAGGATAAAAGGATTAGAAAATAAATGGATGTTTATGGAGGTGAATACCAACACTCAAGACCAGCAGGTGCTCCTCTATTTGTGTTCTTCAAGAGTTTACTTTTTAGAATGAGGGATGAAATAAAATAACTATTAACACAAACCACAACACAGGACACCAATTGAGGACAATCTTGCGACAGATCCGATAAAAATATTCAAATACAGCCAGATTATCGACATGTGTTTGCTTTGGACAAATACCAACAGACCAGTCACAATTGTTTTCAATGAAAACTTTTTTTTTCTTGCAGAGTAGTATTTTGGCTTTCAACATGTAACCCGGCAATACATGTAATCCAATGAGAGCGGGTTCTCTTCTTGTGTGCTCAGGCAGCCCTATCCAAACTTGAACACCGGGTGGCGTCAAAAATGAAGCGTCTCAACGCCCTGAGACACACAACTCTAACTCACCAGCGTCGCCTGGATGACCTCAAGAGGGAGTGCCTCAGATTGGAAGCAGTGGGCTTCAACCAAGCACTCTCAGAAAAGGAGGATATTACAATGGTAGTACTGTACTTGCTTTTACAAGCAAAAACTGACATTTTCCTGGCATTATGACTGAATCAATATCTGATTAGAAAAAACACCCAAAACAACTAGAGTTGATTATCCACTCATCAATGACTTTGCTACTAATACAAAAGACGGACGTTGACACACTATTTGTTAATTTATTTATCTTCAAACTAGTATCTGATGTCCTTCTTTCAAAGTGAGAAAACTGCAGGAGGTCCAGTGTTGACTTTTCGCCTTTAAGAGGGTTCACAAAATCCACCATTTATCACTTGGAATAACACGAATCTGATGCAGAAAAGCAAAAATTCCAAGGACACTGTTAACACAAATTTATTCAAGGCTCTTATTTTTAAGATATTTCAGAAAATTACAATTATTTCAAATACTGCACCTTTGTTAATCTGGTTCAGCCCCCCTTTGTAAATATAAATCACTTGGAGGGAAAGGAATCTCCATTTACATTTTGTTCCACATACATTTTTGCTATTTTGTGATTTTGACGTTTGTAAGTGCCAATATTTTTTTAATTGCTGTATTTTAGCCGATTAAACGCGATCAAACACGAAATGTTTTGCTCTCTGAACCTGCAGAAATTGAGGTCACTGCAGAACTGTCTGGAGAAGAACCAGCTCAAGTGCAAGGAAGCTGCAAACATCATGACTAACTACCTAAAACTCAAACGTCACTTGCAGGTTAGTTGTGGTGAAACTCACCATGACTTGAAAGACCCTCTTCAAATGGGAGACAATTACGCAACCATCTTCCTCATTTTTTTTTGTATGGCAGGAGGAGAGCCTGACTTTCCAGGGTCAGATAGACGGTCTAGAAGCAGAAATCATGAAGTACAGGAGGGAATTGCAGGAAGTACAGGATATGAACAACAAAGCCCAGCTCTCCAAAGAAACCGCAATTGTAATTTACCGATGTGTCCTACACAATTTCATGAAATTCACACTGGCACAAATGATTTAATGTAAATGTGGTCCACAAATTCAAATCTTTACATTCCTTGCTTTGAGGATTTCCCTAACCATACTTATGCATCATCATCATCATCATCATCCATAAACCGCTGTAATTTACAAGTTACACAATCTCCTCTTGACTGTTTTTTTGAATTGCTCGCACACTCTTTTGCATCCTTCTAGGCCGAGTTACAGCAGCAGGAGGAGCTGTTCTACAAGGAGCACCAAGAAAAAGATTATCTTTTAGCCATCTACCGGAAAAGGGTGCAGGAGATCAAGGCCAGGGCTGAAAAATTAGATGTGAGTCACAAAAAAAAATTACTGTATTCAGTATTGTTCACTTACATGAGAAAATCCCTGATGCTACCTCGTAAATCAAAACTAACACATTAAATCAAAGCTAATCAAATGTGGTGAACAAGACTGTTATGACCTACAGGCTCAGAGGAAAAACGTACAACAGGATGAGCTGAACAGTGAAGCAGAGTCCGGCGCTGCCAGGATGGCTGCTGAAATGGAACAAAGCATTAGCATGTTTGATGAGACCCTCCAAAGTATGAAGGATGCCACTGGTTACACAGATACACAGGTATCAATGCGGAAAAGGGATCATTTATACCAAGGGTGTCAAACTCATTTTTATCACGGGCCACTTTGGAGTTATGTCTTCCCGTTACGACAGTGAAACTGAGTAAATGTTTACGGAATCTTCTCATCGTATTATTACTTGTACACAAATAAATTGATGGATTACTAGTTTTGTAATGACTCAAGTCAACTATCTGTTTGTTCTATTAAGTTGAAAGTTTTTTTTTTTTCCAGACCAAAATTTCAATGTTATTTATCACACAATTATGCTTTGACATTTTGGTCCAGACTTCAGCAAGGATCATGTAAGCTGACACATGAATTGCTTTGGCGGGCCACATAAAATGATGTGGTGGGCCGGATCTGGCCCCTCGGCCTTGACTCTGACATGTATGATTTATACCGTCCCTCTACTAGATTTTGGCAAGTTACTGTCAGTGTCTACAAATACGGCCTGTGACCTCCTTGGTTTGATTCACTGCATGTCATGAATGGGACCTTGAAATAACTTGTACTCCCCGACAGCATCACCTGTAATTTGCAACTAAAGTGTCCTTATGCAAGGAAGACAAACAATTATTTTGTTATTTGGAAGAATGTCCATGCACCCATAAACTAGATCCCGTTGCTTTTATGTTGCTACATAAAAATACAAAAATCAGTAACTTTCATCAAGACTAGAGGAAAACCTCCATCTCTCTATCATTTTACCACTTGTCCTCAGCAGGGTGGCAGTTGAACAACCATTCACATTCACAATCACATTAACACCTATATATTATAGGTTGATTTGAATCTTCAGTCAACCTACCGTGCATGTTTTTGGAATGTGAGAAAGCCACAGTATCCTGAGAACCCCAAAGCGTAGAACTGTTAAGCAGATGTTCTAAGCACCATTCCACCATGCTGAAAGGACCCAGGCTGAGGTGATCTAGAATACACCTAAATAAGTCTCCACAGTGCTAGAATGCTGGAAACAAGACCACTACTGCACGCTCTTAATGTGGTGTGCTTGTCCCGTTTATCCCTTGATAGGCTGAATACAGAAGTGAAATGATTGTGAAAAGGTCTTCTGCAACTTTGAGGATACATATTTGTGTGTCCTGTATACAGGAGGTCATGGATCGTTACATTGCCCAGAGGGAGACTCATCAACATATGCAAGCAGTGAAAGCAGAGAACGAATATGTTCTCCAGCAGCTAAAGGAGCAAAAGGTGCACCTGAAAAAGCAGTTTGAGGCCATGAAGTATTCGGGAGAAACACAACTGTCTAGGTGAGAATGTCAGAGTGCAGTGGTAGTAGACAATCTTAGAGTCATTTCTGAGATTGTGTATGCATGTGCCACTTAATTGGTTTTCACATTTAAAGCTTTTTAAATAATCAATAATCTGTTTAAATGATCAATAATGGTTCTGTCGAAAGCACGGTATTAGTTAGTACTTGTGCAGTCTAATGAGTTCTGCCTTTGCAACGTTGTACTAGTCACTTTTGATTGTCACTGTCACAAATCTTTAAATGTAACATGTTTACTGTTGGTACGATAGTTTGCAATAGTGTAAGACTGCTACTCTACTCTTTTTTTTTGGTTTTGTAATTTAACTAGGTGGGCTTGGGGGTGGGGGATTATTAGTATGGCGCTGTGCAGTTGCACATCACTGCCAACTCCAACCACAAGAATAAACATGGAAGGAAAAGCAGTTTTGACACTTGCAAAATGATCATCATACGGCTTTTGTAATGCATCACGTTAGAACACATTGTGCCTGGTGGGTGTATATTTTTCTAATTACTGTAATCACATTTCCTCTAGATCAACAACCTCTCCCGACACTCATTGACAAGGAGGAGTGACTTTATACATAATGGGTATTAAAAGCCTATTCCTTTTCTCCATCCGTAGTGAGCAGAGGTTGCTGGACGAGTGTGAGCAAGAGCTGCTGGTTAAGCAGCAGAGTTGTGAAACAGCTAAGGAACGTCTGTCTTCCCTTGTCAAAACCCTCAGCACTATCCAAGCTGGAGTGGAGCACCTCGCAGACCAACTTAATCACATCTCTCTGGTAAAAAAAAAAAAAAAAAAAAGAAACCTTAAAGTGACGGGTGGTCGAGTGGTTAGCAAGCCCGTCTCACAGTGCAGAGGTGCAGGGTTTGATTCCACGTCCCGACCTTACTGTGTGGCGTTTGCATGTTCTACCCGTGCCTGCGTGGGTTTTCTCCGGGTACTCCGGTTTCCTCCCACATTCCAACACTCAAATTTGTCCCTAGGTGTGAGTGTGAGTGTGGATGGTTGTTTGTCTCTGTGTGCCCTGCGATTGGCTGGCAACCGGTTCAGGGTGGCCTCCACCTACTGCCTGAAGACAGATGAGATAGGTTGCAGCACACCCGCGACACTTGTGAGGAAAAAATGGATAGATGGATGTTTATTAAAACACATGCTCCCACATTTAGAAGAGACCGCAATGAAACAAATAATATTTAAAAAAAAGAAATGTAAATTTCATTTTAACTGTTTGAGATTCAGTTCGGTCATGGTGGGGTTGGGACATATTGCAGACTTTTTTTTTTTTTGGTCTGAGGACAAGTAAATTTACTCAGGAACTGCATGTTTTTGTATTTTGTATGGTTATCATTTAAAATTTGATGCGTGGGACATAAGATATCCTCCATTTCTAGAATGACCCTCTTGTGTTGCCTCTTCTGCCCTTGTTGAAGAATGAACCACCGTCAGATATTTCTCCAAACTCAGAAGAGTTTGTGGTGCAGCTGCTGGCCCAGTGTGAGCGGAAAGTGCAGTTACTGCAGAGCAAGCTTCACGGAATGGATCTCGATGAGATTGCCAAGGACATGGAGGAAGAGGAGGTGAGACACAGGGAGAGAAGTTAAGATTTTGCTTGGGGAATGAGGATTTTTCTTTTGCTGCATGTTTGTGCTTGTGGCCTAAGCTGTAGTGCCTTGTATGTGTTTCAGACACATAACATCTTAAAGGCATTCATTAGCTCATAGTGATGATGAGGAAAAACTGAATTTTAAAACAAAAGCTTACCTCGATACAAGTTCATAAACATGGATTTGTCAACAAAAAGAAAAATACAACATCATAAATAAATAAATAAATAAAACACGTTTTGGAAAATGTAGTTTTCAGTGGTGAAAATTCAGTTGGTTGATGGATGGGCAGATGAATGGATGAACGGACGGACAGAGAATGGCACAAACAAATAATACGGTTTCATGTCTTTTCTTGTGTAGTTCTATTTTATGATTGAGAAGCAACTGCCTGCTTACAACAAGCGAGTCACCGTGTCTGAGGACCAAGAGATGGGCCTCTTAACCAACGGTGAGATTACACACAGGCACACACACACACAAACATAGGCACTAACTTGCAATGTTGGTTTCAGAAGAGGAGAATGAAGAGGAAGAAGGCATCCTCTCACGAGAGGCACTAAAGCGCCGCTCTCAGGCTATGATTGATTCAATGTCCAACAAGAAATCCTGGAAGGTCAAGAAGGGCAAGTAAATGAGATGCTCTAAGGCAGGCAGGGAGATGTTTGATTAGGTATGGTAGGTAGGTAGGTAGGGAGGCAGGTCATTAGGTCGATACAAAAAAAAAAGGAACTATACTATAGCTGCAAAAAAAATAAAATGAAAGATGCATATAACCACAGTTCACTGGATCCTGGAAGAGCACCACAGTGGCTGATCACTCATCCTTGCAGATGAGTAAGAAGAATGAATGGTCTGAAATTTAAAAAAGGACATTGAACTTGAGAGTGATGACCTCCAGGACTATAATTTGAAGCCTGATGTCATTTTGGTCGGCTGTATTTGCAGTTAGAGGAAAGTATTTTGTTTTCATTTTCAAAGAATCCTTTGGGTTATACAGTATATGGCGTGTGATTCCACATCATTTTTCTTTGAGAACCCATAGTCATCAGGAGGTCAAAGGTATGTTGGTATGGTAAGAGTCGACCTGCACATGCACAAGACAGAGAAAATCAAGTGCTTATGATGGAGGTGATTATACGGAACCTGTTTGAAGTTTGTTTGAAGGTTGCTAGGTGGAGTGACTGTTCTTCCACTACATTTCGAACAATGGTTTAAAGACTGAGGACAACCACAGTGATGTTCTCTGTTGTAATGTACTGCATGTATCAAACAGCTGTCTTGGAGTCAACCAGACAGACCAGTTTTGACAGTAAACGAAACCACTTCGACCCCCTTGATTGAGTCACTTTGTACAGAAGCCTAGATTTCTTTGTTACATTTTTATGTTGGTGCGTGTCCTCAAATCATTGTTGCTCATAAAAGAGAGAAAAATTCTAGCTTTTGAACACTTTGGATTATATTGCAGTTTATACCTGCACAGTAGTAGGATGATTTTGGACTTTTTTTTTTTTTTTTTTTTTTTTTTTTTTTTTTAAATTTTTTTTTTTTAAAATTTTTTTGGGTTTTTAGATGATTTTTGTCTTTTTTTTTTTTTTTTTTTTTTTTTTGTCTTTACATAACTTTTCAGTTGAAACATTCTTGGGATGTCTGAGCCTAGTGGTGAACACACCCACCTGACTGTTCAGAGGTTGAGGGTTTGAATCCCGGGTCTTGCCTTTCCTGTGTGGAATGTACATGTTGTCTACTGTGCTTGGGCTTTTCTGAGCACAGCGGCCTCCCACATTCCACAATCAGGTTAGGACTCTAAATTGCCCTTAGGTGTGAATGTAAAAGAATCATTGTTTTGTTATATATGTCGCGGGTGTGCTGGAGCCTATCCTTTAGGGAGTAGGCAGGGTAGACCCTAAACCGGTTGCCACCCAAAAGCAGGGCAAACATAAATGAAAAACTTTTCATAATCACAATCACACCTCGGGACATTTTAAAGCATTCAATTAACCTACAGTGCATGTTTTCGGAATGTGAAAAGGTGGGAGCCGGGGGGTTACCTGGATAAAACCTACGCAGACACGGGAAGAGCATGCCAACTCCACACAGGAACCATGCACCTCGGCACTGTGAGGTGAACGTGCTCAGTCACCTAAAGATAAAACACAAAACAAAGAAAAGAATTCATATTGCAAACAAGGATACCTATGAGATTTAGGCATTCAAATATTCTGAATGCATTTTGATTATCAATCAGCATTTATGTGATTTTATTATTTTTTTTATTAAGTGATTTGAAATAAGTATCAATTTCAAATAAAAAATGTAAACAACGGATTTGATTTGAGAAATTTACACTTCTGGATACGAGCCCTCCCCGACAAAATTTACGAATTCCAGTAATATTAAGTCAAAAGTTATTTTGCTATTTTAATTTGATGGCTCTCCAAAACGATCGAATCCGGCGACCAATCAATGAGAGGAGGCGTTCCCACCCGCACCTCTTCAGTTCCTGCTTCACGTTTGAATAGTTTCAATTGCGTGAGTGTTTGTCATCCCTGTCACTTTAAAACATGATTCCACCGCTTGTTTCATTTGTCGTGTGATGCTTGACACGACTGCGTGCACATAAGATTTTTGTGGAAAAGCAGCGCCAGCAAGCAATCTTTTATGTTGAACATGAAAAAGTAACAGTATCCACATGATTTGTTGAGAATGACGGGGAGCGTTTTGTTTATTCTAATCGGGGACGCCCTTCGCCGAAAAAATGCGATATGAACAGGAACATAACGATTATGAATAGGAGTGTTCAGCCAAAAAAGGAGGTGACCTTTCCAGCACACAGCAGCATCCACCCACAGTCACGCGCAAAGCCAGTGCACAGCACCACTCCGCTCTGCATGTGGCTAAACAAAGCTTCGGGAGTTTTCATCTGTACAGGATTGAAGGGCACGCAGCGGTTTTCCCAAAGGAAGGTGAATAAAATGCACTCTTATTTTTATTGATATAAAATGATCTCATTCGTGTTTAATGTGTAGGCTATGTTATTTCGATTTGTTCTTTATACGTTTTAAAGAAGTATCTGTCATGTTCCTAGTAGCCTACTATAAGAAAGCATTTTTTTTTCACGTATTTATATGATCTCTCAAATTTGATATTGTTTAGAGTCTCGTGTATCTGAAACTACGTAATACAATATGGTTTTACTGTATTGGTATTAAGTGTCTTGGTTCAACTATTTCTTACCTAGTTTTGGTTTTGCTTTTACATTATGTGCTGTCATTAAGAAATCTCATTCGCGTCATTTTCGTGAAAAACACTTTAGTGAAATCTATTGCTGCGTGCCACATATGGTCTAATATCAATGCATCTGATTATACATCTGATTAGATGTAACATTTCTTTTTATGTAATAGTTCATGCTTATTCACCGTTCTCAAAAGATGAGAACTAAAACGAAATAAGGCTCACACACAATTTAAGAGAGGGCTCCGAATTCAACCATTCATGTAAACGAGCAAATTGGCTGAATTTAACATGAATGTTACACTCGCGCAAAGGATAATGTGCGAAATGGTGCCTCACTATGTTCTTATCTTTTTTCTCCTCTCAGACACAGATGAGGCAGCAGGTGTGGGTGAGATCTACCGAGGCGAGTGGGTCTGCGTGGTGTGTGTGACATGGTGTGGGAGATGAGGACCGTTCTTCCGGTGAGTGTAGGCAGTGATGGAGGGGAGTCCTGCAGCCGCCGCATAAAGGTGGGCAGGATGAAGAAGCTACTGGGGCTGAAGCTGAGTCACTCGGCGGACGCGCACGCTGACACAGTGCCTGGAGTGTGCCTGAGGAGTTTCCAGCTGTTGGGTTCTGATGAACAATGTGAGGTGAGCTCCACCTGAACAGAAACAGACCATTCTGGAGAGGTATTAACTTGTTGACTTTCTCTCATGTTGCTGTCAGTACTTTCATTACAGACATACAGTAGTGTAGAGTATATCTCGCGTAGCTAAAGCGAGTCTTAATTTGTAAATAAAGTTTGTCCGATTTTTCGTGCGGAATTCCTGCGGTTCTTTCACTTCTGCGCAACATTTCTTTTTAACTAAGAACGTCATCACAGCAATAATGGGCACGCTCGCTCCCTCGGGAAGACATCACATATAACGTTGGGTGTAAGGTTTATTTTCGGCTCAGGCAAGTCTGGTAAGCAGGTGGAATGTTTGAGGAAGCACCACTAACTTTGGGAAATTTGTTGTTTGCTTGTCACCATTCAAGTGACTAATCGGCAGTAATTACAGTCTTTTCTGGCTCGGTCTGTTCTTTTGTTTGCAAAGAGCGCATGGTCAAGCATGAAAGAATGATGCTCGATTCATTTGTTAATTCATGGCCGGAATCTCGTTAGGGCAACAAAAGGCTCATTCTTGGACTTACCATTGGCCTGCCTGATTAACAATTCATCTTGTCTCCTTGTTAGTGTTGTCATATGTGTGGCTGTGTAGAACTGCTTTCATTTTCAATAGACATATTCAAGGCATGTTTACGCAGCAACGAGCTAGCAAAAAGGTGAATGTGTTTGAAGGTATTTTGATGTTGCTCATTCGAAAATCCCCTTTAAATGGAAGCAGTCGCAAGTAATTGTTGGAGAGATTGTTCGAAGCTCAAATGCATTACCTGTGTTGACTACAACGTGACTCCTTATAGAATTTTCTTTATATGCAATATATTTTGATTCTTTCAAGTGATGGGGCTAAAGTTCCTTTTGCAGATGGCAACAGACCAGTTTCATACTGTGGGTGTTTCCCCGCCACTCCCCTGACACCACAGGCAGGAACGCAAGCTACTTGCTGGCAGAAAAGTGTCCAAACTGGATTCTTGAGAGGCAGCAGTGCACTAAACCTAGCAAGTTGACGTTGGCCTGCTACTGGCATGGCCAATAATCACGAGGTCCACATACTTTGATGTACAGTGCATCTTCAGTCTTAAACCGAGAAGTTTTTGAGAATAGGTGTGTGTCATTATTTTCAGGCTTCACATATTTGGTCACCGTTCTGTTTTCATTTTCATTTGGTTGTTGTCTTAATTGTTGAATGCAAAAAATAATTGTGGGGGAATCGCCCTAATCTCATCACGTTAGGGAGATTCCCTGATTGCAGTGGTAAAAAGGCCACAGCAAGTGATACACAAATAGCATGACACTGTTTTGTCTTGTTTGAGAACCAGTGCAGTTTATTCTCAATTAAAAGCAGATATAGTGCTTTGGTTTTGTGTTTGATGCCAACAAATTTACTGTGTGAGCTCAGATCTGTTGGTCTTAACTGATTTCCAACAAAAGGTAAATATCTGAATATTTAACAGTCTGAGTCCATCCATCCATCCATCCATCCATTTTCCAATCTGCTTATCCTCACAAGGGTCGCGGGGTGTGCTGGAGCCTATCCCAGCTGTCTTCGGGCAGTAGGTGGGGTACAACCCGAAATGGTTGCCAGCCAATTGCAGGTCACACACAGACGAACAACCATCCACGCTCACACTCACACTCACAACTAGGGACAATTTAGAGTGCTCCATTAACCTGCCATGCATGTTTGTGGAATGTGGGAGGAAACCGGAGTACCCGGAGAAAACCCACGCAGGCACGAGGTGAACATGTAAACTCCACATAGGGAGGCCGGAGCTAGTATCGAACCCTGCACCTCTGCACTGTGAGGCCAACATGCTAACTAGTCTCCCTCCGGGCCGCCTCACAGAAATATCACATACAGTATTAACTGCTTTGCAGTTTCATCAAGAGATTATTTGGAATTGTTTGTAATTTAAATATTTAACAGTTTGAGTTATGGCACTATCAAATACTGTTTAGCAGTCTCACAGAGAGATATTTTTTTAATAATAATTAAGTTTAAGACCTGATGCATCAGACAGTTCCCAAATAGTTTGTAGTACAGCCTTAATTCCAGGTTGTTTTGTATTTATAGTCTCATGTTTACATTTTCCTACTCCGTGGTCAGTTATTGGTCTGCTGTGCTAGCCCCGCCCACACCTGGCACTTCCCGGTACCTGTCTCTCTCACTCTGGTCTCTTTTTTACTAGTTTTGTCTCTTTCTCATTTGCTACCTGCTGTTGTTTGCAGCCAAGATGTATGTTCGATGTAATTTAGAGTTTGTCACTTCTCCGAGCAATGCGCATCCCCTTTTTGGCTAAAGGTGCGCGCGCCCATGCAAAAATGGGAACTCAGGGAAAATGGCAGTTGACTATGGTGAGTTGAGCAAAAAATACAAATACTGTACCGTCATTATTCACGTTCTCTATGTTTGACTTGCCATGATCGTGAAGAATCTTTTTTTTTTTTTTTTGCCTGTCTGTGCTCGATTTACATGTGTTAATGCAGGCGTCTCACGAACCGTCGTTTCATCACTTTAAACAGAAATTGATAGGAATTAAATTTGCCTGCACTGAAGGGCTGGGGAAGGTATAGCATCATTTTTCGAAAACAGCCCCGTTTTTACACTTCTCTGTAATCGTGCTTATTCCAAGGCTTTCTCGTTCATTTTTTTTTGTACCTCATTTGGAGTTGCAGTGTTATTTAAATTAGTATGTGTTAATTTGATAACCTTGGAATTAGCAACTGAATCAAGTCTAATATGAGGTGCGACATTGTTATTGCCAGTTGGAAAGAACGTCTGTTAGAATTTTGACAGGCGGTCACTGTGGTGACCGCTTGTTCCTGCACAAATGGTGCAGTCATCGGACCAGGTCACAAGCTAAATCGCAATAATTGGTTGAGATGACACGCAATTCAGGCGTTGTCATGACTGAGTCAGTTTGTCATGAGTTTTGCGCTGCACACGAGTAGGTTTGTTACTATGTTAAATTGTGGCTCGCTGAAATGGTGCGTGGAAAGCATGTAATTCTTAATAGAAAATGACAAGAAACATTAGCCTCGGCAATTAATTGTTACTTTTATCATTTTGAGTTTATTGCTAGTGTTTTTTTAAAAGGGGATATTTAATGTTTCATTATTTTTGATGTTATGTTTTAAATAGTTTTGAAAAAAACGTTTGCTTATTCTTTGTAAAGGGAGAAAAAAAATTGCTATATTTTTTCTTGAGAAAAAGCAATTTCGCCGACCCCACATGTGTATTGTATATTGTACACTAACATGACCGCTTGAATTTACCCCGACAGGACCAAGTACAGGAATGGGGGGACGAAGAGGAGAACGGGGCTGTGTTTGGCATCACGCTGCGACGAGAGCCCATCATGACAAGCCCAAACATGGCCATGCTGACCGACCATATGGCCTGCAATTATGTCCAGTACCACACTGTGAAGCTGCGCAGACTCAAAGCAGGCACCCTGGAGCACTTGGTCACCCACCTTCTGGATCCCGAAAGTCAGGAGCCTGACTACGTCCATGTTTTCCTCTCCACTTACAGAGCCTTCACCTCTACCAATATTCTCATTGAGCTGCTTTTTCATAGGTGAGACTCTTTTTTTCACTCTTCATGCTTCTGAACTTTGGCAAACGTAAACCAAAATGTGGGTTTAATACCTGTCTACATGTAAACGTATTCAGTCATTTTTACCATTTTACACAGAGATCCTTGTCTTGTGCAAATGTGCAGCTAAGACGAGAGTGTCCATTTCAATTGCTGTGATGAATAATAAAGCTCCCAGCCGTTTTTAAATCTTAACACACACTCACCGGGCATTTCATAGGGGTGCACCTGTACAATCTTAATTAGATGCATTACGGTTGTGTCATCTTTCAAAACAATAACCAAAATACAAACAGTAGTAACCTTAGTATGAAGCAGTCTAGTAACACAACACTACAATTTATAGCCGGGCTGATGAACAGTTAAATGAATCCAACTCTGAGCATTGTTATTTTTTAGGCCTGTACCTCTTGTTGGTGCAGATGTGGCAATACTGTAGTTTCACCCTTTGTGAAATACATAATGAAACATACATCAATAGTTCACTTCAAACAGTCTTTGTACATGTATCCTATATAGTGTGACTTCTGATTAGCATTAGGTAAATGTTACTTCCCCAATTTAAAGTAGAGTACTGGAACCCTGAGGTTGAATGCAATCTGATCTGAAACAATGGATTACTTAACATGTGTTTGGATTTCAAAACAGTTTTTCCCCCATTGTGAATTTTCACTTCCAGGGTCTAAATGTTTAACCATAAAACTCATGAACTATGCAGACTTGCTTAACCACTCTTTATATGTGTAAAAATATGTTAATAACTTGCATATTAATGCGTTCAAACACAATTTTTTTTTTTTTTTTTAACATTCACTATCACACAAGTGTAAAAAGAAGTTAATCACGAATGTAATACATATGACCTGACTTGAGGCTAGTAATCAGGGTATGCCTCACCTGGTTGGACTGCCTAGCAGGTGAATCATACAGTACATCAAGGTTGAAAGAGGCTATTGGACACTCTCACGACGTCACTCGAGCTATGCGCAACGAAACCTCTTTTGTAATGTTGAATGAATCAGTGACTTTTATTCTTGAGGCAAAAACGATTTTACAATCTTTGTCCTCATGTCACATTCCCCATCGAGCTTTCGCATTGAAGCTCAGGAGACAAAAATAAACTGCCTGGCTTCAACTCTTTTCATGATCATTTCCAGCCAGTTTGAAGTACCTGTATATTAAAAAAAAAATTACCAGACAAGTTTACTATTTTTTTTAATCTATGTTGCTATCCGTTTTTCACATGCCACAAGTGTAGATGTAATGTTATTTGTCAAACAGTCACCCTCATACCTGTGCTGCTGGTGGCAACAGGCTTGCCGTCACTCTGAGGACACTTTTGGAACATTAACTCCCTCCTTTGACTCACAGGATTTTTTTTTTTGAGATGCTGTTAAAATGGACGCAATCCGAATGACGCCCAAGTTTTGCGTGATAGAAAATATAAAGAATATTTTTTTAGGGAAAAAAAATATGATTTTTGAAGTGATTTCCTTGCTAAGACATTTATTGTTTCATTTTTCGATGGCCTAAAGTAAGACAACAACATGGAGCAATCCTATCGACTTATGATACCTTTATTGCGGACGGAAACCGTCCGTTAACAGCCTCAAGGTGAAGGGCTCACTTGGGAAATGTTCTGTGATGGTCTGCATCCTGCTGACTGGATACTGAGTAATGCAAGGCATTTCCGGACAATCCTGATTGATCAAGACTGGCATAATACATTGTGAACCTCACAATAAGTTGTGCAGTCGCTCAAATGGATTTTAGGCACTACCTACCTAAGTTGTGACCGACCTTCCCCTTTTAAGTTCTTCTATTTTGAATGTTAATGCCGTATAACTACCTGTCAAAAGCCAGGGAAAATGTTAGAGCAGAGGAAACACGAAAAAAATGCAAGTTAAACCTCTCAGTTAAGTGGATTCTCTATGTGAGAGGAAGACAAAATGACAAAAATGTGTTTTTATCCAAATAACGAAGACTGTTTCCCTTTTTTTTTTTTAAATTCCCAGAGATGACGCAAACGTCACATCCTTGCAGAGGTGAGTTCATTAACTTTGGATTTTCCATTATTCCATGCAAATCCGGCACTTCCAGGCTTCATTATGTCTCTGAATTCAAACCAAAAGAAAAAAGAAAAAAAAAAACCCAAATCTGATTGGATTCATTTCCCTCAATTCCTCCTCAGTGCTTTGCATCCGGTAATCAAGCTGTGGTTGGGGGAATACGGCGCAGATTTCCATGAGCCCTCTCAATACCAGTCTCTCCGACTCTTATGTGCCAACTTGCGCCGGCGCCTCTGCTTTAGGCGCTTGGCTCAGACCGCAGAGGGTCTGCTCAAATCGCTCAAGGAACAAGGTAGAGGAAACAAGTTCTGTCACTGGCTACTGCTTATTCACTCACAACCACACCAACCAACACACAGAATACAATCACAGTCTGCCTTTGTGGGGTATGTAACAGTACCGTATTTTCCGCAGTATAAGGCAGTTCAGAGTATAAGGCGCACCTTCAGTGAATACAATGCAACACGATACAATATAGCTTTATTTATACAGAGCTTTCACAACCGCTGCAGTTGTAACAAAGCGCTTTACAGAACATTTAAAATACTACGTCCAAGAAATCAGAATATTGATCCATACATAAGGCGCATCGGATTAAATCAAAGTCGGCTTTTAGGCGCTGAAAAGTGAATGCTTTTAGGCGGGCCTTATAGGGTGGAAAATGCAGTAATTTAACTTTGCTGGAGAAACATTTTCAAGAGCAGGATCTTGAGAATCACACATGAACATTATTTCATTTTATTTTAATAACTTTTGTCAGCGGCCTGTGATTTACTTTCAGAGCTTTTATGTCTGGTACAGACCTTGGATCACATTAGACTGTGTAGGAGTACCTAATTTCTGATGAGCGCATGCGATGTCTTTTTGTCACGTCGATGAAGTAATTACTGTCCTCCATTTCCTCTTGGTACATCCTAATTGCATGTGGCCTGTTTAATGTGTTTTTATGCCATTCATGCTTCCGTGTGTTTTGACAGATCACAGCCAGTTTGTGCCAGTGGATGACAGAGCGCTGCTCTGCAAAGAGAAAGACAGAGACATCTTTATGAACTTCCATGTCACTGACGTAGCGGAACAGCTCACCAGATTGGACAGGGTGGGTTTTCCTCACTTCTTATTGCAATGTAGTGACAGATAAAGTATATGACAATTCCCGGTTTGTTATTCATGTTTTTTTTTTCCAGGAACTCTTTGTCCAAGTGTTACCGTTCCACTGCCTGGGCTGCGTGTGGTCACAACGCGACAAGAAGGAAAACCGCAATCTGGCCCCCAGCGTCCGCGCCACCATTTCCCAGTTCAACGCAGTCACCAACCTCGTTATCACTTCGCTGCTTTGCCCTTCTTCTCCAAGCCCCTCCACTTCCTCTCCCATTTCATCACCCAGCTCCTCCTTAAGCTTCCTCGACCCTTTGAGTGCTTCAGGGCTACCTCATTCGTCTCACACCAGTCCTTCCTGCAGAGCGCGCATCCTTGAGTGGTGGATCAATGTGGCACAGGTCAGTGGGGGAAAGAAGCATGCTTGGATGACATAGTGTAAATGACCTCGTCAAAGAAACACAGTCGTGCTCCAGCCATTTTCTCATCCTAACTTCTTGCAGGCGTGCAGGCAGCTGAAGAATTTTTCTTCCTTACGGGCCATCCTGTCCGCCCTACAGTCCAATGCTGTGTATCGCCTCAAGAAGACTTGGGTGGCTGTCAGCAAGTGAGCAACCGTCAAAACGCTTCAACTGCTCCATAAGAAAATACTAATCAATACATTTCTAGAGGGTGAACATGTTAAATGGCTTTTCTAGTTTCATTACAACCGCTGATTTTCTCGAAACTTTATTTCCATTGATAATCTGTCCAAAAAACATGTCATTATAAGAATCTGATTATGTTAAACAAATACAGATGTAGTAATAACCACGCAAAGAAAAAAAATTACCCGCACTGAAGAAAGCCCTTAATCTTGGCCATGGTCATATATGGAGGTCAATATGATAATACAGCATTCTAAGCTTTCATTTTACAGCTTCAGTCAACTAACACAATTCTGTAAATTTACGGTGAATTCATAATGCTAACTTGCTGTTTTGTTTTTCATTTTTTATAATTGTAAAATACTGTTAAATATTAATCCTTGGCAAATAACAGTTCAATTATTCACTTAAGAAGAATGTTAGACAATGGTAATTTATCAACATAAAACTATGGGTTGCTGTAAATTTCTGATGTTCGAACAGTACCCAACTGCATTTTTTTAAATTGTAAAATGCCATTAAATAGTCATTCCCACGTGTATATTGACAAGTACCGTTAATGCTTGTTTAAGAATAACAAACTGTAACAATATAAAACAGTATTTTTTGTCATCGCTGGTGATGGGAAAATGAAGCTTCAAATTTGCTTTATGAACCATTTGTATTTTTGATCCCTCAATGTAGCACTCTGTTCAGCATTTCGTTGAAAGCACGCTTACGCGCCATTTCAGGAGCCCACTTATTTAAGCCAACAGTCCATGCTTGTTGCTGGATGCGTTTGTGATTAGTTCACGCTAGAAGCATAGGAAGGTACACAATTTAAGTAAAATACAAGAAATGTCAATCTACGCAGCGGCTGTGTGGGTCAAGAGGTCGAGAGCGTGTTGTCAAGTGACCGAAGGGTCAGCTTTTCGAATCCCGCTCGGTCCAAGTCACGTGTCGCCGTGGCAACCTACAATGTTCCCCCACACCAGAGTGTGAATGTGCAAGTACTTGAATATCCATTGTGAGCTATTTTACTGTTCCGTTAAAGTAGGTGCATGATAAAATAACAGTCAATTACTGGCGTACCCAGTAATTGTTATTTTACATAGAATTTTTTTACACTGCAGGAAAGCACTCAACAAATCTTTATGTTCTGTTTTCAGGGAATGCATAGCTAACTTTAAGCATCTGTGTGAGACATTTCCCGATGAGAACTGTATGCTGGCCAACCAAGAGATCCTAACAGAGGCAAGTAACATTGTGTACTTGAATGTTATCACCAGAATGGAAATTGTGTTCATTTATTTGTTTGCTCAACAAGTGTCATGTGTGAAAATTTAGCTTCAATGTTGTTGGTTATGGAAAGAGACTTTTTTTTATACCTTACCAATTTTATAACATTTATGATTATACAAGTAGAATACCAAAAAGGAGACTTCAAATTGAACCTTTCCCTTGTGGCTAGCGGTGAGCGGTTCTTTTAAACTTATCTGTGCAAAATGTTACAGATGCATTATGCCCCTAATCGGTGTGTACTGCAACTGTGTGCACATTGCCACTTGCCAGCTGATCCTCTTGTCCACACAACACCTTTTATGTTTGACCTTTATTTTACATTGTTTGGTGAATATCCAGGCTCCAGTTTCAGCCGCTTCTCAGCCTCTATTATTCTCTCTCTCTGTCGGGGCATGTGAGTAACAACTTAGGCTCGAGTATCTCGTGACGATGCCTTTCTCAGCAGCCCATAGAAATATCCTAACTCACAAACGCTGAATGTGAGTCTCTTTCCTGGCTCACCTTTTCACACCCAGCAACAACTCTGTCATCAGGTGCCCAACCCGGGAAAGAACACTTATGTAATATGTCTGCCGTGTTGTTCGGTGAGCTGAGTGTCGTTGTGGTATTCAATCAAAGCGGACTTGTCTTTTGTTCCAGGGTGGGAGGCAGCAACAGGTCAACGCCAGTTCTCAGCCGCCCCTGCTCTGTTCCAAACAGAGGGTAAGTAAGGTCCTAATGTTTCATCCACTACATTGATGTATTGATTTACAGTATATTCTGACAATCCAACTACATAGATCCATGCTCATGCAGCCAGTTGGCCTTCCAGATGAAAAATAACCAGTTTATCAAATGTGTGCATTTTCATTTGAAAATACACACGGACGAGGTCAAAGCCGCATTTGGTGAATAGTTTAAAATTGCAATTTTTTCTGGCCCATTTGGCCACCTCGTTTTTTTTTTTTTTTTTTGCTTTTATTTTGAAATATTTTTTTAAATGCTTTAGGGATAAGATGAATAGTTTACAGTTAGAACTGATTGAATCGGTCAAAAAATTGTGGAAATTAAATTACGAAAAAAAAAAAGAATCCATGTCCTCCTTGAATTGACTCGGGCAAACACAGATCTTGATACGAGTCGAATCGTTGGTAAAAACAAATTGCTTTGGTCACAGTCTTTGCCACACAAACACACCAGTCATTTGTATTTCTTGCAGAATTTTCATCAAACGGAAGAAATCAAAGCATCAATATAATCAAAGGGCGATTCTTTGAATATTGTTCTTTGCTCAAAGTAGTACAGGTGCTTTTGTGTAGATCTGAATATCATGGACAGCTTAATTCATTCCAATATTTCGATTCAAAATGTGTCTTTCATATTTTAAAGATATTTGCTGCACACAGAGTAAATATTTTATGGTTATATTTTTAATCATTTGTATTATAATATCTTACAGCTAACACTGGTGTCGTCCAGAAACCTTGCATCTCCAAAATCAATAACCGTACTTTTCAGACAAACCAAAGTCATCATCAAAGTGCGTCAGACCCCGGGGGGATTACTTGTAGTTTGGGCTGTAGTTTCGATTTGAATTTTAATCTTTTTTTTTTTTTTTTTTTTTTTACGACACCAGTCCTCAAGCTTTTCTGATGCATCTCATGTGCTGGATAAGACCTGTACTAGTTGTCATTTTGTAGGACTTTGTGTCAATATTCGTAACATTGTATCCACTGCAATGATTTGTGTCTCTTCTGAGCAACGAAACATTGCCTTGTTGTCTTTAGAAATATAAAGACGGAATTGTACCTTACCTGGGCTCCTACCTGACTGCCCTCACAATGTTGGACACGGCTCTCCCTGACTCTGTGGAGGTGAGTAGAAATCACGCCCGCAAGACCACCTGTTTGTACGTGTCCTTTTCATGCAACTGCAGCAATTTAACACTTTCTGTTGTTTCCTGTCCAAAGGGTGGACTGATCAACTTTGAGAAGCGCAGGCGGGTACGTTTTGTGTGATGGCTTACTCTACTGTGGTTTTGTTTTTGTTGCTTTTTTTTTTTGTGAAGTGGCTGCTGAGTTCTCAAATTGATCCTGTTGTCTTTCTCTCTAATATCTGCTTCAGGAGTTTGAGATTCTTTCTCAGATTCGTCAACTGCAGGCTTCCTGTTCTCACTACCAGCTCCCGGTGAACCCTCGCATAACCAACTGGCTGCAGGTGCGCACGCTGCTCCTCACTGATCAGGAGAGGTTAGAACACTTTGCTGTCATTGCAACGCACAGACAATCAAGGGACGCAGTCATGCTGATGGATCATCTTTTTCTTCTGGCCTGAAGCTATGAACTGTCTCGTGAGCTGGAACCACCCATTGATCCGTGTCCCACTTCTCCTAATTTATGGAGCAGTCGATTACTGACAAAGAAGCTCCTCTCGTAAGTATGGTGATTTATCTTCAAATGTTGTGCTGCAGCCTTCACATGTTTCACACCCACATGTTTCAGATATGATCATTTTCCCTCAATAAGAGATATTGGAGTTCGTACTGTACAAGGGGCGAAATAAAGTTTTTTGTATTGCCTTTTGCAAGTCAAAATGAGCACTTTGCTCGTCATTAAATCACGTTGTATAGCAAAACTGAGAATGACAGATTTTCTAGTTGTTAATCGGAGACTGTCCCTGCACTGGACTGGAAGTCTGATTGGTTGAAAACCAGGAAATGATTGATAAGAACAAACGTCTTCTCCTGCCTTGCCACCCAGTGTAGAAAGTAAATACTGTAGTACAATGCAGGCAAACTACCAGTACATGAACCATGTCATATGTTCATTTTAGTCTCAGCCGCAGGCTCTTAAAAAAATGGATGGCCATAGTTTGGGCAACAAATACTCAGATTTCCAAGTGTTCATTAAAAATGAGGCAGAGGTTTTATTGCGAAACATTATATAGTGTTTGAACATTAACACTGCAACTGCAATATCAGTACAAGAAAATACGGGAAAATAATAAACTGTTTTCAAATGATAATTCAAAATGTAGAGCAGAGTAAAGGTTAATTAAAAATGGAACCAAAATAATTGTTTGAAAACAAAACGTTATGAACGATTAAGTGCAAATCTATTTGACTTTCGCATTAAAAGCAAATCAACTGTAATTAACAAATCGACTGTACTGATTTGAAAAGATGTTTTGTGCCCTGCGATTGGCTGGCGATCAGTTCCGGGTTGACCTCGCCTCTTGTCCAAAGACAGCTGGCATAGATTCCAGCACATCCACCACCCTAGTGAAAATAAAACCGTACTGAGGAATGGATGGATGGATGGATTAAGCTACTGGAACAACATGCATGGGTTGAACTGATTTTCTTTTTCTTTTTTTTGAGCCACCAGAGGGAGACTGTTTCACACTTTGAGAATTCCGGGCATAGATAGACAAAGTGTCTTTAGTTTGGCCGCCTGAGCCAAGCAGCATAAATGCTAACTTGATAGCTCAGTGCCAATCAAAACTGACCTTAAGTGTCTCTCTAAACGTAGCACTTATATGACGGCAATGCTCAAATTTTGGATTAGATTGCCTAAAATGTCGTCATGACGCTGCGGTTGGTCAGTTGTCCTCATCATAACTTCATCATTCTTTGAAGAGAAAAGCAAATATTTTTATGTGCAGGTCACGAGCAACCAGTGACGGTTCCCTGGGGAAGACTCACGTTGACCAGATGAGTGTGTCGTCTTCGAGCTCCAGCAGCTCGGACATGGATGACCTCTGTGTCCCTCATTCGTCCCCACTCAGACTCAAACTCAAGGTAGGAGCACTTAATAAAGTATCTGTGTGTAATTTTACAATAAGGATCGAAACATTTGACATTCAAAAGTTTACACAAGGTCAAATGAACTTCAACCTTTTCAGTTGAAGTTCAACCTGAAAAGGTTACAGGGCGTTTTTTTTGTTTGTTTTGTTTTGTTTTTCTTTGTTGTTTTGCATTTTGGAGGACGTACTCTTTGTTAAAAATGTTTGTGTTCAATTTCCTCCTTTCGCAGTCGCTCTCCAGCTCAATGCACAACATCACTGAGGACTACGCCTCCGTGTCGTCGTCCTCCTCTCCCATCCTCTCCAGCTCCTCCTGTAGCTCCTCCAATCCCGACCTGAGCAGCAGCTCTTTGGGGCTGAGGCCAGACTCCTTATCATCCTCATCCTCCTCCAGCGTCTCTACGCAGTCTGTGCTGCCTGTCTACAACAAACAGCTCGCCGACTCGTGTATCATAAGAGTCAGCATGGAGTGTGTCAACACCGGCAACATCTACAAAAGCATTCTGGTGAGGGAGAGCACACAGCTCCTCCTACACAGTATTGGGCCACCAAGAGCTCTTTTGTTTGTTTTAAAGACCTTTTTTAAACCTGTTTAGACATCGTCAAACAGTGAAGTAGAACACAAGGTGTTAGCAGGATTGTGCAACAAACCTTTGCAGTGTGCCAATAGTGGGGATCCACTGTATGTCGTTTAGAAAAGCACAAATAAAACCTACGATGTAGCACCTTGAGCAGTAAAATTAAAAGCAGTAACATCAGGAATGTAATCAGAATCATACAATGAAGTGATGTTGCAGACACTAAAATGTAATACAATGTGTCTTCTTTTTTTTTTTTTTTTTTTTTTTTTGACAAATAACTTTGTCCCTCAGCTGACCAGTCAGGATCACACACCTCAGGTCATTCAGAGGGCTCTGGACAAACACAACCTGGAGGACACGTTCAGCTGTCAGGACTTTAGCCTTTGCCAGATGCTCAACAATGGAAATGGTACGCTTCAAAACAATTTGAGAATTGATAATCATTTCAGAACAGGTGCCTTGACTTTGAGTTACATTTCACAAATTTGCATAAGCTTCAGAAAGTCTGATAATAGTTTGGAATTCGCCATTATAATTCATTCTTTTTCATTTCATTTTGAGTTTTGTTGTTTACATTTTTTTAGTTTTAATCAGTTTTCAAAGCGGGTTTATTAGTTTGTATTCGTTTTAGTTCATCATAGTAAGTATTGTGTCGTAAAAACTCAACAAAAAATATATTGAATTAAAAACAACCATCCATAAATCAAATCTGGAGACATATAAGGTAAAGGTCACTATAAACCTCCCTTGCGTTTCAGAGCTGCACATCCCCGACAACGCCAACGTGTATTACGCCATGTGCACCACCTCCAACTATGACTTTGTCCTGCACCAACGCTGGAGGAGCCACGGGAGACATGCGGGCTCCTCCTCCAGTGCCGGAGCGCCTCGTGTCCGCCACGCCAAGTAACAAACGGCTGTCATTCAAACTAAATCTGCCAAGGAGAGCCCAAACTCACAGTCACTTTGTTTGGCTTCACGCGCGAGCCACCCTGATGCCTGCGAGCTTTGCCCAGATGTCTTCTGTCAGTGCCTCGGCCGCATTTGAAACATTTGGACATCACACCTGCTCCTCCCCAGCATGCTCCAGCCTCTCAAAAGGCATGTTTGGAACTTTTGCACAAGTAGAAGATGTGTGAATGGGATGCAGCAAATGGACGCTCGCTGCAACCTGCGCTGCGATTGGGAGTCGTGCACATTGTATTAGACAAACCATCCCAACCATCGACATCTGCTTTGAGTATTTGTCTTCTTCTTAAAGGTTTTCATATAACTTCAAATCAACGTAAGAATTGAAATTATATCAGTATTCTGCTTTGTAGCGAATTGTTTTATTTAAATTTGTTTGTGAGCCCCCTTTCAGTTCATTTTGAAACAGGAGCCGAATGTAGTACAAAAATGAAGGATGAAAGCTAGTGCATGCCGTTGCCAAGGGAAGGTGATGATGTGATTTTGTAGTGTTGCTCTTAACGAGGTTGGGGCGGTAATGTATGGGAGACTGATGGTTGAATGGGGGTGATGTCACTAATACAAGATGGCATCCTTCATCTGTGACGATGTCAACGTGGTTGGCGTGAAGGATGTTTTTCGTACGTGAAGGATGAAGCGTCCCAGTAAGTGAAAGGACATGTCAATCCTTGCTGCTTTTAAAACTGTTCGCTGTGATTGCTAACCTTTTGTTTGCAATGAGTTTTGAAACAGTGGTGAGTCGCACGCGCCGGAAGTCAGAATGTTTTTTTTCCCCCCTCAGTAGTTTTGATCTGTTTGCACTACTATTTTCAACTCGTATGTATTATTGATGTTTCATTTCCTTTTTACCTTTTCCCAAGCTCTTAGTCATTTGAAATACTGTCTAATAAAGATATTTCATTATTTATTGCACAGATTACATTGTATTGACGACTTTAATCTCAAAAGAAAGGCTTGTAGACTGATGACATGATCATGAGTCACTGCACACTATTTAGGCAAGAATAAAGAGACATCTGCCTATTACGGCAACTGAAAATGGAATTAATTACTGTATAGAATTGGTGAGATGACAACTGAGAATAAAATTGTTTCAAGTCACAACCCAAAAAGTCTTTGGGCACATAGCCATGACACCTTCAGTGAAAACAAAGTCACTGATTTATCATCAAGTTCCATAGATGATGTTCTGACGGGCAGATGTTGCAGCACCTGAAGGTGAACAAATCAACAGGACAGTGACCAGAAGCACACAGCCAAGAGAACAAAGGAGTGGCTTCAGGGCAAATCTGTGAATGTCCTTGAGTGGCCCAGCCTCAGGCCAAACTTGAAATCCGATTGATCGTCTCTGAAGGGATCTGAAAATGGCTGTGCACTGATGCGTCACATCCAACCTGATGGACTTTGACAGGTCCCGCAAAGAGGAATGGGTGAAACTGACCAACGTTAGGTGAGCCAAGCGCTTGGCATCATATTCAAAAAGACTCCAGGCTGTAATTACTGCCAAAAGTTGCACATCAATCATAGTCCCAGGCTGGATCTCATTATTGGCCAACCACTGAACCAGAGACCCTGGCATTTGCTTTCCTGGATGTACACAGTAAAAGCAGTAAAACATTTGTCGACCTTGAAGTGTGCCAAAAACCGCAAGCAGCAGGAGAGCCCGTGAAACTCCAAACATGTTGGGATATGATTCCATAAAAAGCATGAAAGTCAGGGTATTCTACACAGACCACCATCGGCCTACCTTATACCTATTCCAGGGACTACACTCCACTCGAACGGTGACGCATTTCCACCTGCACAACTGCTACCAAGTGGAATCACCTTGCAGCCATAGCCTCTGAAATGCCCCCATGAACGGCTTGTGGGGTTGGATTACTGATTGGCTACGACTGCTCCAGAGCACGAGCACCACACCAAGTTCTTAAAAAAGGTGACAAGTCTTTCGCTGACTGTGATGGACTTCGGCATCTGAAACACAAGGTCAACAAGAATCCCAAAATTAAGCATGATGATGTGAACTTCATGGAAGTTTTTTTTTTTTTTTTTCCCCAAGAATGGTGAGGCAGATAGTGAGTCAGTGCTGGGAAATGTGTGGTACAGTATACCCCACATCAGGGGGTCTGTCACCACAGGAAGCTGGATAAGATCAGAGTCTTTTGCGACTGCTTTGCTAAGTCTCAACGATCACCCTCTCACTGGACTCAATCTTAAATTGCTATACACCTAGCATAGCTTAAAACAGAATTAAAGATTTTTTTATTCATATTTATATAGTGTGTGTGTATGTGTGTGTGTGTGTGTGTGTGTGTGTGTGTGTGTGTGTGTGTGTGTGTGTGTGTGTGTGTGTGTGTGTGTGTGTGTGTGTCAGTGGTTGTACAATTTTGGGTCTGGTGGTGTAACTGTAGACAGATGGGAGAAATGGCTCAGACTAATAGAGTATTGACAAACTCAAAGTGATTATGTTTAAAAGTTTCATTTTGTTGTATGCTTGATTGATCTCGAACGCGTGCGTTCACACAGCTTGTACACAATTAGAGCACACAGAAAAAAGGGCCAATTTGAGCTGAATGGAGGCCTTGTTAACTGATAGTTCAGACTGGAAGGTTCAATTTCGGGTGGGCAGCCTTGAGTTTGTTACACTGTCTCAGTTCATGCGAAATATACCCATTGAATTAAGAAGGTATCCATTGTTTGTACAGGGAGGTGTCTTGATCTAAAAATATCTACTGAGGGGCATATCGGAGGGCCGGCCAAAAAGCGCGGCATGCAAATGAGGGAGAATGTTTTTCTGATATGTTACTTATAATTTGCAAATGTTCTCAATAAAAGTCCGGCATGGAGCACAGGAAGTCGAGTTTCAGTTGGAGAAGCGAACAGTGAGTGGCTTCATCGATAACTGAGCTCCCTGCCGGCAGGAAAGACAATCTCTTCCTGAGTCTGTTTGTTCAACTTGTTCGAGGCATATCACTGACACTAATCCAAATGGGTTAATCCACTCAATGGCTGCGGGTTTCCTTACTCATCTTCTGTGTGTTGTTTGTCTGTTACGTCTTGAGGAGGATCAAGACAGTGGACAGGACAGGACCTTGTTGTGGCATCTGCCCTGAAGACCTCCAACTTCAAATTTACTCCTCTCATTGTGACACAGATAAGAATACAAAATTCCTCAGGTCGGAGCAGTCACAGGGAAAGCATATACAGTACATGCACCCATTCAGGTCGTTTAAGAGACTTCAAGCAGTGCTTTTCTTTTCTTTTTTTTTTTTTATGAGTCAATTTATTTAAGGTGGGGCTCGAAGACGAGTGCATGGTGACAAAGCGGAATGGGATCCACCTCAAGCTGAAGGAGTCCTTGGTTCTTTTGAGCCTGTGGTACTCCGGAGGCAGATGATGGGTACCAGTTGGGCAAACTGAATGCAACTTTCGGGGAAATTCTGGTCCACCAGCCGACATTGGGACATTTTAGTGTCTTCGGTTAACCTAAAAAGCAAAAAAAACTTCATTGCGGATTGAAATTTTCCTTCCAGATAAAAAGTAATTAAAAAGATGCTTTGTGCCTTCCTTTAATCCAATGTTTTTGTCAGTGCACATGCACACATGCGCTTTAGCACTGTGTAAATATTGCTACCAGATGATGGATTGCGTGCCAAAATGTTGTTATCCACACTTTCCACTTGTACAAACTCATGTAGATGAGCAGGTCACTTCCTGTAGCACAAGGCCACAAGATATGGTAATAGGGCCTGTGGGTTGGTTTCATATTGCGTAACATGACGGTGATTCATCTCTCTCTCTCTCTCTCTCTCTCTCTCTCTCTCTCTCTCTCTCTCTCTCTCTGAATGTAGTGGCCTACATTCATTTTAGAGGTGCACAACTCTATAGCCTATTTCTGTCATGAATTGATAGAGGTCAGTGTCTGTCCATTTGTGTGAGTGTGTTTGCCTGCACGTCACTGAGATCACGCGTCCTCTAATCATTTTTCTACACAGATCCAGAGCGATGTGCGCACACACCGACACACTGACCTAATTTTACAACGCCGAGCAGAACAAAGGCAGTGTGACTGGATAGGTCAGGACAGGCAACATAACTCTCTTCTGAAACAGCCAAGCGACCACACAGAAATTATTACACAGCCATCTGAATTGCTCTTGGTTCCAATGTAAAATAAAAGATTTAGATGAAAAGAATAATCACTTTTATTTGACATAATCTACTCAGTTCTTATTACAGGAGATGTCGTGATCCACTCACTGGCCGTAACACGTTAGATGTCACGTTAGATGTCCAACCTGAGAAGATCCGATGCAATTGCTATATCAGGCCTTTGCAGAGAGAATGCTGGTCAATTTTGATTCACACTGACAGGTATTCGATTAACACGGTTTTTAGCAATGTGGTTATAGTTTACAATTCTAGAGCACACAGGCCTTAATCATCCAGGGAATAGCCTGTTTCGAAAATGGATGGAATGTAATGGGGGGGGCAAATAAAAAGCAAATCAACCATTCGGTTGCTTTGCAAGTTCCACTTGAAGAAAAACAGCTGCCAGCATGATGTAGTTGCACAAAACAAGCATAGACTCGTTGCGCTGTTCCTATTTAAGACTGTTATGTGCGATGTCACTGCTCGTACCCTCATTAGGGAATGAAATGTTCCCAGCAGTGTGATGGCATTGCGAATCTGCTCGACATAAGGACATCCAGCTTAAATAACACTCGAGGACGCGCACACACACACACACACACACACACACACACACACACACACACACACACACACACACACACACACACTCGTACGCTCCTCACTTACATCCTTACCCCAACCCTGCCTCTCCTTGTGCTGCTGACCTACATACTGCAGCATCCTGGTTACATAACCAGCCCAGGCTGTTGATCACTGCAGGCGATGCAGTGCAAACACGCTCAAGCTCCTAAATGACAACCCCCACTACCACCAACACCACTCCCCCTCTCCCTTCTCCCCGCTCTGTCATACAAACTGTCAATGATACGACCTCCAATCGCTTCAGCTTTCTTTTTAACTATTCTCGGTCAGTTCATTGCTCACCAGGGGTTAAACACGAGTGTGGAATTAATGATTGAAAAATGTTCCAAACGTTGAAGTATATCATGGGTCAGTGTTAGTTCAAATACCTGTACGGAACATTTTAGGCCACGTTCCGTTCCCAAAAAGTATGCCACAGAAATCTAACATGTCCGAGGCTTTGTTCCGCCATAACCTGCTCTCTCAAGCAGCAACAAAAGGGCTCACTTCTGAATAGTTTGCCCGAATGTACACCGTAGAGGCAAATGATGTAAGCCCCCCTCTCTCCCCTCCATCCTCCCCCTATCCCTTCTCACTGACCTACTTTTACTCCCGTGGCCCTTTTCCCCCCACCTAACAGCCTCTGCACAATGCACAGCACCATGGTGGGCTGGAAAAAGGAGTGAAGTGAGTCGAGCGCAAACAAGCGTGGAGATGATGTGTGTGAGAAAATTCACTGCTATTTTCTGGAATCACCTTAATGAGCAAAGTCATATTGTTTGAATAAAGTTGACCTGGCACTGTTCTTCTATGACAATCCATTACCGTGTGTGAGAAAAGGAAAGAGATTGTAACGTGGGTTTGTACTTAAAAAATTGAATTTGAAACCCGGGACAAGGATGTTTGCTCAGTGTTGCAACCTCTGCCAGTCTTTGCCTCACATTCCTGCACTGGCTCGTATGCGAGCTGTGTCAGTGACACCTCGGCCATGGCAACAGCTACTGATCCATTCAAGCCACATAAGCGTTGCGTGATCTTCACAACGCTTGTGTAACTCTACTTGTTGCTCAGCTACAGCGGGCGGTGGGACAATATGTTCATAGTGTTGAGCAAGACCGGGCAACTCAAGACTAATAATAAAAGTTTCAATTTCTTTCAAGCCTTCTCATTCACCAGGTTCCGTTAAGTCCTAATAATAGGGACATTTGTGTGTTGTGTGTCTTTTTTTTCAACGAAACATCTTTTATTTCAAATGGATCTTTACCTTCAATGGATACATTACCTTCAAATATGAGTTTAAATGTAAATGGCACTTTCTGTTAGATAGTAGTAACAAACATTCTCATTTGCTCAAAGGCGAACCAACTAATCACATTTTTTTTTGTGGCTAGATAATCCTGTAAAGATATGAAAACCATGAGTATCGCGATAATGTTTCAAGATTGTAAGGGTGTGACTTTTATGCTGGGAAGAAAAGGTTTATGAGCATGTCAAAAACTGTTAAGGCAAATATTGACACACAGACAATTAAAACATGCTGATGGCCCAAGAACTGGAATTTTGGATTCGTTCTTCTCTTAGCAAATAGTACCAAAGCACAACCATATCATAGTCATTTTTGCAAAATCCTTTGACCACATTTCTCGAAGCAACAGTATGCTTGTTTGCGTTAGAATTAAGTAAGATGTTGTGCAAAAAGTAATGTAGCATACAGTAATTTGGAGATACTGTACATGCTTAGGGTTCATTCATTTTTTGTTCTTTCATTTTTTTTTCACTTCATTTCAGTTTTTCTTTTTCAGAAATGAATGTTAATATCTGAAGAATTGGCTGTTTTTTAAAACACCAAGTTTGATTGCTCCCAGAAATCCTTAAAAGCAACTTAAGCGTTACGGTCAGTGTATACCAATTTATGTAATATGTACAGAATATCTGATAAAATTACCATAGGGTCGCTGTCACTGACGGTTCACTCGCCCAACTTGAATGCAGTCAACTTGCGTCAGTTCGTTGCCACTCAGTGATCTACAGAAGACTCTGGCTGATTGACAATTACTGTGTTTTGACTCTCAGGAGTTACTAGTCAGTGGGGTAATGTATGGCACTTTTCAGCATCAAGTTGGGACAATTTAATTTTACTTCAGGGAGTTAAATTAACAGTTGAGGAAAAAAAATAACAATCCTGTACACCCCTGTTAAAATGCCAAGTTTTTTTTCAGAAAAATGGAAGCCAAGATAAATGATTTCCAATCTTATATATTTAATGTCAAGTCATGCAGATTGCCGTGTACGATGATGCACTGAATTGTATGGCTAGTATTAATACAGTATTTTGTCGATAGAATGAATATTCTCCTTTGCTGCAGGAGCAGTATCGTTGTTTCATGTATGAGATTTACCCCCCACACCTCTACCCCGACCCCAACTATAATCACAGTCAACTCAAAAAGTTCTGACATGACAAATGATGTTTCAACAACCTTTTATTCTTCCCCATTTTCAACCTTTACAATCAAAATAAAGCACATTTTTTTCTGTTCAACCATTGCACATGTCCATGTGAAGTAGAGCCAAACATGTTCACTTATGGACAAGCTTGGCTTTTAGGGGGTTCTCATTTCCGCACAAGGTTTAGGCCAACGATACTGGTTATACAGTAACACAGAGTACAAATCGTTGCATGGGGTTGCATGAGCAAATACACAGCACAACCGGGAAGAGCAGAGAGCAAAATGACACAGAGGACAATAAAATTACATGTAATAGACAAAATATTAACCAAATATAAAATATTAATAAAAATAGTGACCGCAGTATACAAGTGATCAAGACAACTTTACATTTATACATCGTGGCCAGAGGCAGGCACCTGGAAGGGAAACTATTGAAAAAAAATTGTATGATTCAGATTTAGTGTGGCGGCTTAAACTCAGTGCACAGCGGGCTTTGCTAAATTGTCGGCCAATGTGACGACACAAGAAAAGAGGCACCTTATGAGGAAAAACAGAGCAGCTTTCCTGGTTTGGGATGGGTGAGTCATCTTTTTATTCGACAAATTGTATCCATTCTGTTGTTGCAGCCAGGAAGGCTCGCCTTGTGCTTGTCAACATCGTACGACTGCATACCCTTGACCGTTAGGGGACTCAAATGTTTGGGCCGCTTTTGGTGTTGTAGTGATCAAATCACCCAAAACCGATACCAATGTCATCCATATAACTAAATGTGTGTTGTTTCAGATCAGGGTGTCCAAGTTTGGTCCTCAAGAGCCCCCTATCCAGCCTGTTTTAGATGTCTCCCTCCTCCAACACGCCTGATTCCGAATTTGAAATAGCGGCTCTCGAGCACCAGATTTGGGCACCCCTGCTTTAGATCTTGGAGGAATTTGCTTTGTAATTGTCTGAACAATTTACCACATTAAAGTTCAAGACATATACATCCGACAGATTTTTTTAAATTATTTTTGCCACATTTTCTTTTCAAATTAGATACCTCATCGATGCAAATGAATGTCACAACATTTTACAATCTAAGTGCTTGAAGTGAAAAGGACTGACTGTTATTCAAAGAGGACCAATATACGCCGTTACTGTACCAACAAAAGGTGACATTAAAGAAAAACAAATATTCTTTGGTCAAAGAAATGTTCTTATAATGCCACAATAAATGTGTCCGCTGGCCAGAAGTAGCTCAGACTGAAACTATTTCATTCTGTTCCCTCCCTCAGTGAGTGATGTGATTTGAACTGGAGGGACATGTGGGAGGTAGGAGAGAATAAAGGGAAACAGGTGACAGTGAAAGTGGATGGAAGTAATTTCCAAGCTAGGCCTCATTTTTGCTGACAAGATGAATGGGGCTGTAGTTGCAGAAACTAGAGCACCTCCAAATTGTACGCGCCTCTAACCACTGCTGGCGGCCTTTTGTGAGTCCAACCTCTCATCCGGCTGAGGTCTGACCTCCTCGGTGTACTCCACATCATTCTCTGCCTCTCTGCTGACCTGGCTGCTGTTAGAGTTGCTTGGCAGTGCCAGGTAAGGGTGCTGGGGCAGGGTGGGGGATGGGGACATGGAGACGCCCACGCAGACCTCCATCTGTGCTTTTGTCGCCCCGGTGGACATTGCTCGGTTCTTGAGGCGCAGCTTGTGGGGCAGGGCAGTCGCTTTGACCTCAGCTTGGCACTCTCCGTGGGGCCCAGTGGTTGCCGAAGCTTTCTGGTGGTAGCTGCTAATGTCTGAGGATGATGAAGAGGGGGATTCGTCATCGGTCAAAGCCTCCTTGTCGGAGCTCCGGGGGTCCCCGTCACTAGATGACGTATCTTTAGCAGAGGAATTCTCTTGGTCGAAGCCATCGCTTCTAGGGCCTCCCTCATAGGTGAGAACTGGAGGCTCTTCATCCATTGTGTTGAGGTAGCCATTGTGCTGCGAGAACACCGCCATGCCCTCCTCGGTACTGTGGATCAGATTGGGAGCAAAGGGGTTCCGGCTCTCAGCTTGCTCAAGGCTGTTCTCCTGAGCTCGAAAGCTGTAGTGGGTCTCGTGCTGTTGGCTGTTGTATTGTGCCTGCAGTTCCTCAGAATATTCGTACTGCTCACAGTCCATCGTCTTTGTCCTCTCCAGCTTCTCGGCGACCTCGGCGATGGTCACTGAACATTCGGAGAACTTGGAGTTCGAGGAGTGCTGGCCGTAATGCGTCCTGCTCTGCTGCTCATCTGGCCTCTGGCTCTCCATGGGGTAACACCCGCTGCTAGAACGATACAGAATGACGCTCCTTTGTGAAGAAGTGGCCTGGGCAGTGGAAGTAGAGGCCTCCATGTGGCTCGGCTGCTGCTGCTGGTAGTCTATGACAGCTTCAGCCAATTGTGTACTCTGCTGTTGAGGAGACATCAAAGCAGGATGAATGCCATGGTAAGCACGGCTTGGCAATCCATTGGATATACCACCAGAGAGTCCAGTGCCTTCCAATCTTGCCATCTCCATGTTGGCAGGCTCCTTCTTTATGCTGTAGCCCAAAGGCTCGGGGCTGTCCCTTGAGGAGCCATCAGACAAGTCCGACACAGATCCTCTGGGAGAATACTTGGGGAGCGCCGAGTGGCGCTCACCGCGGCTGGGCTGTTCGGTTTCCGAAGAGTCTGAGTTCAGCATCACCTGGGATGCGCTGGAGTAGCCGCTACTTGAGCGGGAGGTGCTGGCTTTTCTCCATGTAGGACGCTGTGGTGATGAGTCCAAAGCGCAACTTGAGCTGAAGTAGTTCCGTTTTTAGACGAACATTCTCCTCATTCAGGGCCATGACCCGGTTCTCTAGAACCATGTCATTCAGGCGACGTTTTTCCCTTGAGCGCTTTGCTGCTTCGTTGTTCTTCCTCCGTTTTTCCCAATATGAATCATCCTTTTTCTCATCAGAGATGAACTCCCGCTTGCGGCGAGATGCCACAGTAGGCTTGGAACCTTTAGCCTGGCGGCTGGCCCGTGCCCCGCCCTCAGGAAGAGGGGATGGGAGATCGCTGTAGGAAGTAAAACTGTCCACCTCCATGGCATTTTTGTTGCTGGTGGTTGAGATGTGTAGATTCAGGTTTTCCATTTTTCCAAGCAAAGGCCAGAGTGGAAATAGAGCAAGTGTGTCGGGAAAGATGCACAGGTATAACAAGACTTTGTGATGCAACTATTGCCACTATGTTGCGGGATCAGCAAAGACTTCACATCTAAGAGAGAGCCTCATTGATTTCTCTTGCCAATTGTTTACTCGATCAGAATATTCAAGTGTCCAAATTAGCCAAGAAGATTAAAAACAGGTGGAACTCCATGAACACCTTAGACATTGAACTTATTTTCTCAACAAGCAATCCGTCAAAAAAATGATCACGCCTGTGTTTCAAGTTGTTTGGTTTTCTTGGCGCACCGCAAGTCTGTGGAGTCTCTCGGCAGGTGAACTGGAGTTTACTGATGTCTTCCCAAATGTTCTGCACAGCTGCGGAGCATGTCAGGCCACAGCGCTTCTCATCACAGTGTCGTACAGAAGATGTAGGTCAGGCTGTCTACTTCGGGTCTCCCTGAGGATCCGACTTGAATGCCGTTGCTGTTATGTAGAGAGAGAAAGAGGGAAGGGGGGTTGGGGGTGGAGTACAAAAAGAGTTAGACTTGCAGTAATTGTCTGAGTGGTCAGAATAGTCAGTGTATCACTGTAGTCTATCAAAACTAATTTTCAAGTCTTGTTGGTGAATGGTGTTTACAAGAGACCATTCTCTTTACAGAGAGAGGAAGAGCACACTTCCCAAAATTGATGAGACTCTTTATTTGTGGGGTTTGAACACAATACTGCCTATAATATATCATTGTCAAATATGTATCATTTTATCACCTACTATTCGTACCACAATCAGAGCAAAAAATTGTTTTATTTACCGACTGACACGAGACCATAAGCTACTAGATTTCCTTGTACTGGCTCAACATGGTTACTCAAACCACCCAACATGTCTTACGCCAAAAAGGTAAAATTGATGAAGGGCTGGATAATAATTCAATAAATATGTATATGTAAAAAAGAAAACACACACACGAAATACTTATATCCTTATAGCCTTCCAACCATATCGTCTAGCTCTACATTGAATGAAAGTGAATGCAGCTTACAAGCCAACTGCAATTATTTGATCTGATCGGCAAAGTGCACAGTGGTCTGCAATAACCACTTGACTTCATCTACCGTACTTACAATTCAAATAGCGGTCACTGCTGTAATTGATTTTGTGGCTAAATTAATCACTGGGTGAGTTGTCCATCTTGATGAATAAACGCCGCACTTTAAATCAATAGGAAGAAAATCATTTTCCTGACAAATCTATTGGTGTGTACTCAGTCATGCTGAGGGAGTTTACCGAAACTATTGTTTGCATTATGTTTTCTGTGTTGAATAATAGGACACAAAAGATCAAGTCTATGCCATGAAGATGAGATATGAGGCATGAAAGCACAAGTACATTTTTTTCCATTTTGCGTCACCGTGTGACTTTCAAACTCAAAGCATCTCCTAGGTTACTTTCTATCTCTTTTAAGGTCTTAGGCCTTTGACTGCATTTCTTTGATCGACTACGGGGAAAAATCTATGACAAGCAAATAACTTTACATTTTAAATAGTAAAAAACGTTCGTGAAGATGTTGCACAACTTCTCAAGAGTTTCTTTCGGCAGCAAACTAGTTGAGACTAACAATGCTGCCTCAAATTCTTCAAGACACGACGATTAAAATTCCACACAACCAACCAAAGTTTTAAAAATCAATTATAACACTCATGCCGAATGACGGCTTACAAAACGTATCACTTTGGTACCTTTACAAATTTGTGCCACATACCTATTAAATGTGAGCATCAGGTTACTGCATCATTCTACTTAAGACGGAACACGATGAATTTGTTACATCATCTAACAGCGAGGGAGGAACAAAACAAAACTATGCAACCTTGAAGCTTGTGTAATCCCAATGCCGCAGCACTTGTTTACTCACACCTGTTTTCTTCATAACTAGGGGCGAAAGACAAGGTTTGCTACCAAACCAGTATGACTGCCTTTTATCAGTCGCTCTTCCCCCCACCCCCTGATTTTTTTCTTAGATGAACTTGAGTATTGCAAAACAGAAGAGAGAGAGATTTGGTCACAACAGATGTGGAAAATTTCAGGGGTCAACCCCTCCTTCCCACTACGAATCATTTTCATAAAGACCGCAGAGGGAGGGGAGGGAACAAAGGCGGGTGGGAAGGAAGCTTGCATACGTCTGCGCTGTCCCACTGACCTAGAAACAATGCTTAGCAGTAAACACTCCTCCCGTCTTTGACAGTACGCCATAAAATAGGTCAGTAGGACTGCAAGAGAGGGAGGGCGCGTGAAGGAAGGAGTATTAGAGTGCACTCTATAAATAGTCCAAAAGAAAGAGGGGGGAGAGAGGGGTGGATGACAGGAAGGAATCCAGGAGGTTCAGGAGAACGATATTAAGAGACAAACTGAAATCTGTAAATAGCATAACATCCCGATTATGGATCAATTTGAACGCAACATCAATCCCTGGACACGCTACAAAGAGCCAGTAACGCAGCACGGAACAATGAGCATCAGAGGCAGATGAAAAATTATAGCTGAAGATGGCATTGATGTCAGAGCACACACCCATCTCCGCAGCCAAACTCACACATAACAGCCTCTCTCTGGACTGCATGGGGAGGGGCTGCTTTTATCCCTTCTTGGGTATGTGCTCTGAATCGCTCTTGTGTAATGTGGACATCACAGCAGTTACAGTTGACTGACTTTAAATTCCCCGCTACTTCCCTCTCAGCGCAAGTTTAAAATCAAACTGTTTTTGTTGCTGGTGGTTGAGATGTGTAGATTCAGGTTTTCCATTTTTCCAAGCAAAGGCCAGAGTGGAAATAGAGCAAGTGTGTCGGGAAAGATGCACAGGTATAACAAGACTTTGTGATGCAACTATTGCCACTATGTTGCGGGATCAGCAAAGACTTCACATCTAAGAGAGAGCCTCATTGATTTCTCTTGCCAATTGTTTACTCGATCAGAATATTCAAGTGTCCAAATTAGCCAAGAAGATTAAAAACAGGTGGAACTCCATGAACACCTTAGACATTGAACTTATTTTCTCAACAAACAATCCGTCAAAAAAATGATCAAGCCTGTGTTTCAAGTTGTTTGGTTTTCTTGGCACACGGCAAGTCTGTGGAGTCTCTCGGCAGGTGAACTGGAGTTTACTGATGTCTTCCCAAATTTTCTGCACAGCTGCAGAGCATGTCAGGCCACAGCGCTTCTCATCACAGTGTCGTACAGCAATCCGTCAAAAAAATGATCACGCCTGTGTTTCAAGTTGTTTGGTTTTCTTGGCGCACCGCAAGTCTGTGGAGTCTCTCGGCAGGTGAACTGGAGTTTACTGATGTCTTCCCAAATGTTCTGCACAGCTGCGGAGCATGTCAGGCCACAGCGCTTCTCATCACAGTGTCGTACAGAAGATGTAGGTCAGGCTGTCTACTTCGGGTCTCCCTGAGGATCCGACTTGAATGCCGTTGCTGTTATGTAGAGAGAGAAAGAGGGAAGGGGGGTTGGGGGTGGAGTACAAAAAGAGTTAGACTTGCAGTAATTGTCTGAGTGGTCAGAATAGTCAGTGTATCACTGTAGTCTATCAAAACTAATTTTCAAGTCTTGTTGGTGAATGGTGTTTACAAGAGACCATTCTCTTTACAGAGAGAGGAAGAGCACACTTCCCAAAATTGATGAGACTCTTTATTTGTGGGGTTTGAACACAATACTGCCTATAATATATCATTGTCAAATATGTATCATTTTATCACCTACTATTCGTACCACAATCAGAGCAAAAAATTGTTTTATTTACCGACTGACACGAGACCATAAGCTACTAGATTTCCTTGTACTGGCTCAACATGGTTACTCAAACCACCTAACATAACATGTCTTACGCCAAAAAGGTAAAATTGATGAAGGGCTGGATAATAATTCAATAAATACGTATATTGTATATGTAAAAAAGAAAACACACACACGAAATACTTATATCCTTATAGCCTTCCAACCATATCGTCTAGCTCTACATTGAATGAAAGTGAATGCAGCTTACAAGCCAACTGCAATTATTTGATCTGATCGGCAAAGTGCACAGTGGTCTGCAATAACCACTTGACTTCATCTACCGTACTTACAATTCAAATAGCGGTCACTGCTGTAATTGATTTTGTGGCCAAATTAATCACTGGGTGAGTTGTCCATCTTGATGAATAAACGCCGCACTTTAAATCAATAGGAAGAAAATCATTTTCCTGACAAATCTATTGGTGTGTACTCAGTCATGCTGAGGGAGTTTACCGAAACTATTGTTTGCATTATGTTTTCTGTGTTGAATAATAGGACACAAAAGATCAAATCTATGCCATGAAGATGAGATATGAGGCATGAAAGCACAAGTACATTTTTTTCCATTTTGCGTCACCGTGTGACTTTCAAACTCAAAGCATCTCCTAGGTTACTTTCTATCTCTTTTAAGGTCTTAGGCCTTTGACTGCATTTCTTTGATCGACTACGGGGAAAAATCTATGACAAGCAAATAACTTTACATTTTAAATAGTAAAAAACGTTCGTGAAGATGTTGCACAACTTCTCAAGAGTTTCTTTCGGCAGCAAACTAGTTGAGACTAACAATGCTGCCTCAAATTCTTCAAGACACGACGATTAAAATTCCACACAACCAACCAAAGTTTTAAAAATCAATTATAACACTCATGCCGAATGACGGCTTACAAAACGTATCACTTTGGTACCTTTACAAATTTGTGCCACATACCTATTAAATGTGAGCATCAGGTTACTGCATCATTCTACTTAAGACGGAACACGATGAATTTGTTACATCATCTAACAGCGAGGGAGGAACAAAACAAAACTATGCAACCTTGAAGCTTGTGTAATCCCAATGCCGCAGCACTTGTTTACTCACACCTGTTTTCTTCATAACTAGGGGCGAAAGACAAGGTTTGCTACCAAACCAGTATGACTGCCTTTTATCAGTCGCTCTTCCCCCCACCCCCTGATTTTTTTCTTAGATGAACTTGAGTATTGCAAAACAGAAGAGAGAGAGATTTGGTCACAACAGATGTGGAAAATTTCAGGGGTCAACCCCTCCTTCCCACTACGAATCATTTTCATAAAGACCGCAGAGGGAGGGGAGGGAACAAAGGCGGGTGGGAAGGAAGCTTGCATACGTCTGCGCTGTCCCACTGACCTAGAAACAATGCTTAGCAGTAAACACTCCTCCCGTCTTTGACAGTACGCCATAAAATAGGTCAGTAGGACTGCAAGAGAGGGAGGGCGCGTGAAGGAAGGAGTATTAGAGTGCACTCTATAAATAGTCCAAAAGAAAGAGGGGGGAGAGAGGGGTGGATGACAGGAAGGAATCCAGGAGGTTCAGGAGAACGATATTAAGAGACAAACTGAAATCTGTAAATAGCATAACATCCCGATTATGGATCAATTTGAACGCAACATCAATCCCTGGACACGCTACAAAGAGCCAGTAACGCAGCACGGAACAATGAGCATCAGAGGCAGATGAAAAATTATAGCTGAAGATGGCATTGATGTCAGAGCACACACCCATCTCCGCAGCCAAACTCACACATAACAGCCTCTCTCTGGACTGCATGGGGAGGGGCTGCTTTTATCCCTTCTTGGGTATGTGCTCTGAATCGCTCTTGTGTAATGTGGACATCACAGCAGTTACAGTTGACTGACTTTAAATTCCCCGCTACTTCCCTCTCAGCGCAAGTTTAAAATCAAACTGTTCAGCGGTCGCGCTTAACTGCTGTAATGTCAGCCCTAGCACAAACAGGACATGTTCTGTATTTTTGCTTCCGGCCTCATTAAACCCTAAAACTGTTTCCAGGAACTTTCTACTTCGAGAGGAATGCTTCACCTCTGACCCCCAGTGGGACGAATGTGAGTCAACAGTGAGGTATCCCTGCTCCCCTCCTCCAACTTGTTAAGAGATCCAACCACACACGTGGAGCGTCCATTTTGCCCCACGGCTTTGTGCCTATGGATTCAAAGGAGGAGATTGGATCGAGAGACTGTCACCACTACTTGAGAGCGAAAGCACCCCTGCGTGTGCTGATTTGTGGCAGCCTGTAAATCACTAAATTGTTTAAATAATTGTACCAGATAAAATGTCAAATAAAAAATAACATTGGGTCCTCTTTATATTAATATTTTCTTTGCAACTGGTGGCAGATATGCAGCATTTGAATACATCCTCAGAGAAACAGTTGTCAATCTAGAAATGCTCATAATATGGCTCAGGAGGACTTAATAAAAACTAGATTGGACATGATGGGAAGATTTTAGCACCACATCTTTTACAAGCTTGGGCCGCCCAGAAAAATTGCTAATAAGAATTGCTTACAGTTGTTAATCGCACATCACTTTGTACAGATGCACGAGCCCTCCAGAAAATGTTTTTTTTTAATTCATTAGAGCAACAGACTGAGAGGTCAAACCCAAAGTCTGAGTAGCCTTGTATGCCGTGTGTACCGTCACCCAAATACAGGTCTGACCTACATTCAAAAGCAGACTGGGAAATGGCAACGCAGACGCTCTAAAAACAGACCAGCTGGCAGCAGGCAAGCTGAAAGGGCTCACCAGAACCCTGCCTGCCTGCCAGACAGGCCTTTTTCCATGCATTGCATCACATCCTGAATGTTCACTTGTTCCTTTCTTATTTCAGTCAAGCCACGACAATGCCATGTTGGGAGTCTTTAGGTGGCCGGGTATTGTTTTAACTCACATTTTCACTCAACTAAAATGCCTCACATTATTATTCTGCATTAGCACAGGTGTGCTGACTTGTTTTAAACGTCTCCTCTCATTATCACATCACGAATAATACAGGGTGTAAACGGGAATCAATTATAGGACCTTGTGTCCCAGGAGAGAAATTTGTAGCTCCCTGCTGCGTGCTGGTTATGTCATCCCTTCGACTCCTTAGCAACACTTTGCGCCTTACTTAACAGGCATTTTGAAACGAATTAAGACATTTTGGGGGAGCCTTCTGGTGAATGGGCAGAAAATTAACCGACTTGTATTTTCTGCCGACACACGTTTTTTTCTGAGAACACCATTTCGCTTCGCTAAACAACCACATGCAAATTTATGACCAAAGCTGTAACGTGGTGGTACTTAAATTATCTCCATTACGCTAGCTAAGCACCATGTGCGGGGATCAAGTGCGTATTATTAGCATTATTAGCCGCAAAACGGCAACCGAGCTGCTGCCTCGGTCGACTCGCTGGAAAACACCACCGGGAGGAAATTTCCTCACCTTGACTTTGAACATACACAATTTGACTTTGAACATACGCAATTTGAGACACGCGTTTCCAGTCTAGTTTTGGTCCAGCTAATAACGCAGGAAAGGGAACAGAGAGACATAAACTAGCGCGACAAAAGAACCCAACGTGTTGTTTGCCCAATGGAACGTCTCGAAGTGACGGGCGGGTTGCCGGCTGAGTCGCCATGTGAACAATAACCAGCGTGTCCTTTTCGCTAAAACCAGTGAATAAAGCATGAAAGCACTAACATTTAGAATTGGTAATTATTGGACGAACTGTTAGACATAGAAGGAAAGAACAGAAGAAAAAAAAAACAAGAGAGAGGGTCGAGCCGTCAAAACATACCTTTGAATGGTGGAGGAGGGGAAAACAACCTTCAGGCTTCCCCGACACAAAAGCTGTCTCGCTCCCGTTTCCTCCTTTTCTTTAGACAAAACCTATCCAGAAAAAAAAGTTGTTCCCTCTTTGGTGTCTGTGCGCGTTCGAGTCCCCGGTATCTCTCTCCTTGGTCGAGTCGCCCCGTGTCGTGCGCCGGCGGACACTTTGCTCCACTTTGTTGCAGCAGCCTTTCTAGAAATATGTGTTAGTAGGTCAATGGTTGCGTAACAGCCCCTCGGCTGCCTCGTCACGTTTGTGTCCTCTGTGTTTCCACGCGAGAGTATGCGTGTTACATACACTGCACCCACCACCACCCGCCGCGTGTTTCTCTCTCCCCTTCAGCCGTGGAGCACATCCATTTTCCAGCGTGGAGTCTCTTTACAACACGGACAGTAACGCGAGCACACGCGCCATGTGAGCCACTACGTGTGGTCTGGGGGGGGGGGACACTGTGTGTTGTATACACTCCTTATGTAATTATTCGACATAAAATAATAGTCACAACATGATGTAGAGCGTCATTGTGTCAGAATATAGTGATAGACAGATGTCGACCCCACACACACAAAAGCCAACCATTTTTATAACGTTTTAAATAAATACAAAGAGCACTCTATTGTAACATATGAATGATGATTATAAAAACACGATACAAAGACAACATAAAGAACCAGTTTTATAAAGTGTAATTAAGACGGAAGTCTCAGACACACATAAACACATTTGAGTTGATGTGGGCCTTTCAAGGGCGCCGTCGAGTACGTGACGTCAGAAGATGGAGCGAGTTGGGTCAATTTTCTGCATACCAATGTACAGTTATACATGTAAATTGTACTGACTGATATTTGTTCTATACAACACCAAAATGCTTCCAGAAAAAGATAAGATAAGATATCCTTTATTTGTCCCACACTGGGGAAATTTACAGTCTACAGCAGCAAAATTGGGGGTAGAAAGAAGAAAAACAAAGTGTTTGCATTCACAAATAAATGTTTCAGTTTTAATGTACACAGTTCAATTAAGTGCAATATAAATATAGATATAGATAAGGTGGCTGTGCTATTTACAATTGTTTTTCACGTAATTTTATTTTTATTCAGCAGCCTGACAGCAGTCGGTAGGAACGAGCGGCGGTATCTCTCCTTCTTGCAGCGCGAGTGTAACAGACTCTGGCTGAAGGAGCTACCCAGTGCTGTCAGGGCGGGCGGGAGGGGGTGGGAGGGACTGTCCATCATAGCTTTTAGCTTAGCTAGCATCCTCCTGTTGCCCACCTCCTCCAGAGTGTCCAGGGAGCAGCCCAAGACAGAACTGGCCCTCCTGACCAGTCGCTCCAGTCTCTTTCTGTCCCGCGCCGAGATGCTGCCTGACCAGCAGACAATGCCATGAATGAATGTGCAATGAAGTCTGAGAAAAAATATCTACTCCGACTTTGTTGCTTCAATCTGACGTCACTCGACAATAGCGACCCCCATGGACACACAGTTCATGCCAAGGGCAAAACAATTTATAACATTATAATTATATATTTATACATCTTTATTTATGACTACAATAAGTTAGTTATTCAACATGACTTCACCTAACTCATTTTTTGGGTTGCTCAGATTTGTTCTGATTTTGTGCGTGAAGATATTCTGTTATCTCCATGCATGAAGTTATTCAGTGAAATCTATGATGAAATTCTTATAAGATATTGATTTATTTGTATAAATAACACAAACTATGAAGGTAGGTTTGCTGGTGGTTAAAATATGTTTTGAGGAACAAAACACACACACACACACACACACGCACGCACGCACGCACGCACGCACGCACACACACACACACACACACACACACACACACAAAAGGATCAGAGAACAATCAAGTGCAAGCTGGCATATATTACACCGGAAGTAACCTTTCAAATTGCTGGCGTTGTTGTACCTCCATAATAGTCACTTTTCAGAAAACCCCCAAATTGACATGTTTGTTCAACTACTGTATTAATATTGCATCCTCAAAGAGAATAAGCCCTTTTCAACATTTTTGATCAGATTGTACTGTATACTTTAAATTTAGGGCATTTAGAGGTGGGGCAGTTTGTTTTATTTAATGGCAACCGAGATCAATGACTTTACATAATAAACTGGAGTGCTGGCACAGATTCCGTAACAAATATTTTTTGAATCAGAATCCTTATTTCCTAACAATAAATTGTGTTGTTAACAAATAAATGATTGATTATTTGAGCTATTGTCTTTTTCAACATACAGTACCATCCCACATTAATATATTCTGAACCTTCATCCTTTCCTCCTCATACTGACCAATCAGTGTCCACCCAAGTGGTTTCAAAGTTAAAAATAGCTTTTCTGTGTCTGACGTGATGTATGACTCATCCAGCGTCTTGTTCCTCTCCTCATGTCTTTGCACCATTGCTCACATCTACTTCAATATCAGTAGCAAGGTTAGTCGAAAACTAAATATTGTACTGTGTAACATTACAAGTAAAACGTTTCTACTGACAGATCATCTGAAAAATAAGATATGCAATTTTTGTCACACCTAGCCTCTTTTGTTTGAATGAATGAATGAATGAATGACAAAATATTTCAATGAGTCATTTTAACGACTCAATGAGTCTATCCCAGCCATCTTCGGGCAGTCGGTGGGGGACACCCTGAACCGGTTGCCAGCCTCACTCCAAACCTCCAGCGAGATGCAGTTCACATATTCATCATACCCTCAGATTGGAGTTCACACCAAAATGTTCCACTACGTCTTCAAACTTGTGAAGCGCTCATTGGGCACACTGTGCAGGAACATACAGTAGATAATCAATTTTTAATGGTATGCTGGCATAAAGGTTTTGTGGATTCATTCAGTTTAACAGAACTCTTTTGTTCTGTCTGTCTGTTGTGTTAGCTGCTTCCCCCGTGAGGCTGGTCAACTCTCACAACCGCTGCTCTGGAAGAGTTGAGATCTACCATGATGGACAGTGGGGGACTGTGTGTGATGACAATTGGGACCTCACCAACACCAACGTGGTGTGTAGACAGTTGGACTGCGGCAGGGCTTGTTTAACACTGCCCAGAGCAGCTTTTGGACAGGGTCGTGGACCCATCTGGTTGGATGATTTCCAATGTTTTGGAAATGAAACCTCAATCACAAACTGCCGACATCATGGATTTGGGAGACACAACTGTATTCACTTGGAGGATGCCGGTGTGGTTTGTGAAAGGTAACTTCTTATCGTTGGACTGAGTTTTGGCATCATGACACTGAAACCTGTCATAAAGGTTTTGTGGAGTCATTCAGTCTAACAGAACTCTTTTGTTCTCAGCGGTGAATGAAACAAGTTATTTTACGACACCCGAACCTGATGTTTCTGGAATGGAGCCAACAACAATCGCCTCTGAAACAACAACCGGTGTCATGGGTACAACGACAGAGGGTCACAGTCATTCAGCAAGAAGAACAACAACAACGAGAACCACTAATACAACATATCCTTTCCCAACACCACCAGCACAACCAGTCGATGAGGGGGAGGTCCGTCTGGCGAATGGTGCAAACAGCTCCTGCTCCAGCAGAGTGGAAATCTTCCAGCGCGGACAGTGGGGAACAGTGTGTGACGACAACTGGGACCTGAAGCATGCACAAGTGGTGTGCAGACAGTTGGGCTGCAGCAGGGCCCTGGCAGCCCCACTTCATGCTCACTTTGGAGAGGGCACATGGCCCATTTGGCTGGACGACGTCAGATGCACCGGAAGTGAAGCAAAGCTGGGAGAGTGCCATCACTGAGGGATTGGGTCGCACGACTGTGGTCACCACGAGGATGCTGCAGTGTTTTGTGAAGGTAGCTTCTTGTAGTTGGATTGAGTTTTGGCATCATTACACTGAAACTATGAAATTAATGAACCCATGCATTTTTCTTTTGTTTAGATGACCAACCTTCACCCAGACCTTCACACCTTATTTGTGGTCCTGACAAAATCCAAGTGGGCCTGAATTCGGTTAGCACAACAAGTGATGGTTACAACCCAGTTTCTGGCAACCTGGCAGTCCACAACTGTTCCTGGGTCAGGGTGCAGAGTGGCATCATTGTGTGGTACGAGGCCGACACTAAGGCAGATGCCTGCGGAAACACGCTGACGGTAAGAACAAAACAAAACAAAAAACACTACACCTTCACACATCTGTCTGGTGGGTCTCTTGTTGTGCTGTCTTTTGTGATGCTCAGGACTTTGAGGATTTTGTTTGGAATGCAAAATTTTCAGTGAATGAAATGATATGAGTACATGAACAGAAGGACCTCAAGGTCATGGTCCACATACTCACGGGTCGGCGCACGTGGATTCACCTATTCGCAGATATATAACACAAAAAAATTGTTACTGATTTAGAATATCAATACGCTGCTGTCAGTTTGAATGAAGAGACTTGACTCGGGAACAGACAGTACTCTTTCTTGACAGTCTGGAAGGTGCTATTGTCAGGTCGGTTGACAAAGCCAGAGCCTCCATGGTCTTGTTCCACAACTCCAATTACACAGAGCCTTATGCAGCGGGTGCAGTTTTCCTTCCAGTGGGCTCACCATTGTATGTGGGGGTCTCTGTGGACAAAAGTGATCCCAGCTTGGCACTTGTTTTGGAAGATTGCTTTGCTTCCCACTCCCCAAACCCTGCAACCGCTGAGCGATACTCTCTCATCCACAACAAGTATGCGTCCCCTCAGTTGGAATGACTAGAGATTCATGACTTAAACAGAATGATGTCCCTTCGGCTGTTTTAGATGTCCCGCTGATCGCCAACAAGTGTCGGTGGTCGAGAGTGGCTCTTCGCTTCGGGCTCGTTTCGCTGCCCTCTTCTTCTTGCTTCAGGCAGAATACCGAGATGTTTACCTCCACTGTAGTCTCAGCCTGTGTGACTGCAGGAGGCACTCTTGCATTCCGGTCAGTAATATACTCTATTCTGTTTGATTCACAGCATGGCAACTACTTGTCCATTGTTTATTAACCACTTGGTTGCAACGTTTTCTTATTGCTTTTCATGTACTCCCACCACATAGACTTGCACAAGGAGGGCACATCGCTCTGTCTCAGACTCTGCCCCAATGAAGCCAGTCACCATTGGCCCAATCACTTATAAGTATACTCATTCGGATATCAGGCTGTACAGTGTGTTGACAAAATAGAAATAATTGCAAAGGCCTTTTCTCTCTCTTTCCGTTTTTTTTTTTTTTATCTTCAGGGAATAAATCATCTGAATGACATCCACTAAAAAAGAATGACCTGGTTCGGAGGTTTGACCATTCAGAAGTCAAACACAGGCAACAAATCATTCACACTTTGATTCAAACCTATGAGTATTTCATTAACCGAAGAAAGTTTTCGAGATGTGACGGTGGGGGCAGGTGTGACTGGAGAATCCGGAGAAGATCCACTCAAGCATGAGGAGAAAATGGAAACTCCACACAGAGATGTTTCAACATAGATTGGATTCGGACGTCCTCAGTGTGAGGCAGAAGGGTTGAGCACAAAGGTCTTTGAAAGCAACTAATAATAATCAACAAATCATCTTCAAAATAAAGGATACAATCATTTTGAAAAGAATGTCTTGTGGTCTTCATTAAAATGAAAATGGGTGTGTGAAGTGTGTTACTTTGCAAAAGAAATGCTAAATGATTTCTTGGATGTGATAATATTGCCATTGCCAAAAGTGGAAAATAATAAATGTTGGTACTCCCCTTAGTCGCCGTTTGCCAGCTAAATTAGGCCGGGGGTTAAGGCAGATCATTAAGTTAACAAATAAATAAATGTAACAGATAATAAATCAACACATACAGTTATCCATTCATCTATTTTCCAATCAGCTTATCCTCACAAGGGTTGCGCGGTGTGCTGTAGCCTATCCCAGCTGTTTTCGGGCAGTAGGCGGGGGACACCCTGAACCGGTTGCCAGCCAATTACAGGGGACAAACAGACAAACAACCATGCGGATGTCGCTGTACGGATTCTGTTCCGAGCGAGGTGCCGCGCTCACACTCTCACATAGGGACAATTTAAAGTGTTCCATTAACCTGCCATGCATGTTTTTGGAATGTGGGAGGAATCCGGAGTACCCGGAGAAAACCCACGCAGGCACGGGCAGAACATGCAAACTCCACACAGGAAGGCCCGAGCCAGTATCGAACCCTGCACCTCTGCACTGTGAGGCCAACATGCTCACCAGTCGACACCGGGCCGCTCATCGATACAACTCCTTCAGTATATTCGGTACCTCGAAAAAATAGATTAAATTACTTAAAAAACAAATTGAAGCTTCGCAATAATACATTGATTCCAATGCAATCTGGAGAGCCTCCTCTCCAGATCTGCCTGATCTGGAGAGGGGGCTAGGCGATGATGACCCAATTGGATGTCGCTGTACGGATTCTGTTCCGAGCGAGGTGGACGTGATTTACACCGACTGAGCTGGACACGAGCTGGATCAACCACTCGGAGGCACTGTTATGAAGATTTCTTCATACATACTGTCCAGGGTCTGGCCTTCCTGAGCGGAGTTTGCATGCCCCCCATGCCTATGTGGGTTTTCACCAGGTACTGCGGTTTCCGCCTACATTCCAATAATAAGCATGGTAGGTTGATTAAGCACACTAAATTTTCCACATTTGTAATTGTGAGTGTGAATAATTGTCCCCCCCTGCAGCATCGCCCCCCCCCCCTCTCTCTCTCTCTCTCTCTCTCGCTCGCTCTTCCTCGCACTCGCTCAATCAGCTCACAAATCCAACAACTCAACTAAATAAATTATACATGAAACACCACACGAAACTGGGTAGTGGTATTTCAGTTAAAAGTGGTATCAGTCTTTATTAGAATATATACAATGAAAGCAAACAACAATTTCAAGCAAATGTAAATGTAAAAAAGCAAGATAATAGTCATTTAATATCTAGCATATAAAACTTATTAATAAATACGTTAGTCACTTGACAAAGGATACACATTCAGTGTGCATTTTTCCCCATTCAGTCAAGATCCTTCCAGACAAACGTAATATTACACAACCTGAGTTAAATAATTAATCAAATAATTCAAATCTAAACAGCTGCGGTGGAAGGGAAAACGGAAGGAATTGAGAGAAATGGAACATTCGGATATCATCTCAACTGTGGTCAAGACTTCATGTGAGTGCCGAATCTTAAAACCTACTCACCTCTCAATAGGTCTTGTGTTAGTGTTCAAGTTTACTGTCTACATGCACCATATACGTGTACAGTGTTTGCTCATGTTGGGTCATTTACCGGACCATCATTCATGAGCTTAGTTCATTTTCACATGATATAAATAAAGAATGTGTCAGTTTATGGATTTGGCCAGAAATGTGGGGAGTTTGAAATTCATCAAATCGACTGCAGCTTCAATAAATGGCTCTGCTTTTGGGCCTGAAAAATATGGGAATTTAAAAAATACAATTGTTGAATAAATTACGCATGCTATTTATCACAGGAAATGTACAGGCTACAAAGTTGTGAAAACAACATCAAAGTGTATTCTAGCAACTACACAATCAAAAGCCATTTTGCAATACATTGCATTACAATTTTCATTGTCTTGGCAACCAGGAAATCAGAGACAATGACGTTGACATTCAACAACATTATGGAAATTTAAAAGAAATAAACAGAACACACATAGGGCCCAATTTTTGAAAATGTTTATATTTGTAACTTCTCTAACTGTGTGCAGGGGTGGAGTTTTCTTTTTTTTTTTTTCCTTGACTTGGCACATTAGAACAGGCCATAACAGGGCTTTTGCGCTGTTGTGGGATGGAACATAGCCGATTCCCAGGCAATCGAAGTGGCTCTCCTCAGCGCACACAGTGGTTGACATTGCATGACAATGGCGCGTGCAAAGTGCGTTTATACAAGTAAACTGCAAGAGCTCCCCTTGCAAATCACGTTGTCGGCCACGCATCAGACATGGACAATTGGAGACTTTAGTCTAAAATTTTGTCTACTTTTTCCTCACCAAATTGGAAGATGTGCCAGAACACCAAATGACAACCAGTACGGTACAGCAAATTTACACGCACGCTTGATGTGCCCCATAACAAAAATGAAGTTGCCGGGCAAGAGCAGTCTACTTTCTGTGGCTACATCATCAGGTGTGCCGGGGGCAAAGTAGCCCCATGCACCGGGGCTCCCTGTGAGGTTCAAGGCAGTCCCAAACATGCTAAACTAGACTTGCCCCAGCATGAAAATGAAGTTGCGCCTGATTTTACGCCGAGCGAATGGCTGTCTGTCTACTAAAATAGGACCCATACTGGCTAGCTGATTAGCTCAACCTGTACATATCTCAAAGAAGTATATCTTTGCCTAGATAATTACAACGCTCAGTTTAGATTGACACTGCCAGAGAAGTATTAATTTAGAAAATATTTGTAATTGTTGTTATAATATTACAGTGGTGTTGAACTGAACTGCATCATATGCAGAGATGTATATCTTCCCCATTTTACGCAGTTAAATAAGGTAATGCTGTTGTAGAAGTGCCTCTCACGATGATGTAGTTGTACATCTGTGGAAACTACATCAACAGTAATGTTCCTCTCACAATTCGCTACATGTGATTTCACCTATTCGCAAACTTTTTTGGGGGGGAACCGCAGTTATTTGCTGAAACTCACCTACTCGCTGTTTCTATGCTCTTTCAGGAACACCCTGAGATGCCAAAAGTTAGAGCCAATCCATGTTGAATGAAAAAGTAGTGCTTTGGCACCCTCCTGGGGCCATGTATTTATGTTGAACTGAGGGGAGGAGTTCGTTCAGCCTTGGAGGTGTAAGGAGAAGAAATAGGCATGTACGCTTGCACTTGGAGGCAATTTTTTCCACAATCAAAACATTTTTGAAGGGTGCTTTTTGAAGGTTATTAAACTCCTTTGGGATTATAGTTTGTTGTACTGTATATTAACAGTATTAACAATTAATAAAGGTGGCTCTAAACCTTTCTTTGGATGTGTGAATCACCCATGTTTTTTTTCTTACACAAGTAATTGACCTTTCTTGGGGGAAAAAACGTTTATAATTGCTTTTATTAATCCTTTTAACCTTGAGGGAATACCTCTCTGGCAGTGTTGATTGGAATTTGCCATTATTATCTTTGTAGAGGAAAAAGTGTTGATTTAACTCCTGTATAGGATTTCATTCAAGAAGTGTACCTAAGAAAATGGCGACTGAGTGTGTATCTGGATGCCATACTAAGCATCAGGCGTGTCTCTTCATATGCAGAGCCAGGTGGTCTGAACGGGAGAAGGCCCTCTGACAGAGCACACATTCGTAGGGTTTTTGGCCCGTGTGCTTGCGGTAGTGACGCGTCAACTCATCAGAGCGGGCGAACTTCCAGCTGCAGCCTCCCCATGAACAATGGTATGGCTTCTCCCCTGGAGAAGTACCAAATATATGATAATAGTCAAGAAAGTGACGATAAGGAGCTCTGTGACTGAGCCACTGAACTTACCTGTGTGGGTGCGGAGGTGAGCCTTGAGGTGCGAGCTCTTGGTGTAGGTCTTGCTGCAGCCAGGATATTCACAGCTGTGGATGGCGGGTTTCTTTTTCCCCGTCGACTTTCTCCCACGCTTCCCTTCCGCTCCTTCAGGGGGCAGCTGCGGTCCGACCATCTGTTGCTGTACGGCCAAACGGCCAGTGGCCTGGCTGTTGGTGTAGTCACAGAAAAGGCTAGCACCGTGGGTGAAGTGAGAGGGGTAAATGTAGTGTCGGGGGTCGGAGGTCGCTGCTTGGAGAGGGATGAACCTGCCGTCAGGGAAAGCCACTAAAGAAGGATGCTGTGGATGGTAATAGGAATTGAATTCCCATGACGTGACTTCATTAAGGCTCCCTGCGTTGTGTCTTTCCTGGGAGAAGCCAAACTGCTCGACATGACTGGCAGCTGACCTTCGACCTGCTGTGTCGTTATTGTAAGCTTGGTGGTACACTTGTGGCTGGTATGATGCAGTCGGGGACATGAACTCGGCCATGAAACTACAGTCCATCTGCTCCTGACCCATTTGGTCCTTAGGCATGCCTGGCACCTGGTACACTCTTTCTTGGTTCAGGTGTTGTTGGCAGTTCTCATCACTGCGGTCCAGGGAAGGGCTGAGGTCCGGCGAGGGGCTGCTCCACTCAGACAACAGCAGCTCGATGTCCCAGGAAGCCTGGCTGTCGTCGTCGAGAAGCTCCTCGCTCATTTGCTGGGAGAGATGCAGCTGCTCGGGGCCAAGAGCTGCTGATCCGTCTTCACACTTCCACACCTTCGATGTTTTTGGCACATTGAGAAGAAAACGTTAAAATAAAGCAATGGAACGCAATCATTTAAGAACATTTCTTGACACCTGCATGATAAGTTTGCTCAATTTTGTTGTCAAAACAAAACTGGTAGTCGGGGAATTGGGGAGATTCACCATCTCATATAACTGCAGTGGCAACATGTGTTTCTAATTGTGTCTTTGATATGGACCAATATCAGCCGTGTCTCGGGCCCTCAGCTCGGCATGCATTTGGGGCTGTGAGCACAGTGCCCCAGGGCCACCAACACCATGTGGCCAAATTATGCTACATTATATCACATCACAGAGTAAGGCAGCTAAGCAGCAAATGACCATGCAAATGTCGGACATGACATGACGTTAGAATATGTTATTTTGAATTTTGCTGTATAGTGAGTTCAAATGTGATGCTGACCTGAACAATCATGTTGAGCTATTGTTCTCTGGGGAATTTTGTAACATTTTAACTGAAAGACGAATCGCAATATAACGCTTCTGTGCGCAACATGTCACACCGCTAGGTGAGATTAATGTGATCCCCGGTGCACATTTTAACTCTTGAGAAGGCCTTAAGGCCTTATTTTTAATTATTATTTTTAATTATTTTTAACTAGTTGAGCATTATTTCCAGAGCAATCACATGTTCAACATTAAACAATCTTCTCTAAATTTCGATTCTCTCTATTCGATGTCTTTTCAGAGTCCCGAGGCTTTCCTGGCATTATGTGTATTGGCATTATGTGTATAACAAATGAGGTCCAAGCGATACTTACTTTCATGTCAGGGAGATTTGAAAAGGAGCTGAAGGAAGGGAGCGCAGCCTGGGTGGCAGCCATGAAGCACTTGGATAGACAGTAGTCAGCAGAAGCAGTTTTAGTTTTCGCTTTTTTTTTTTTTTTTTTACTTTTTCTATGCCTTAATATCCTCTTGGCCCTCAGCTAAACGACTCACACGCTCCCCAAGCTGCTCCTGGCAGTTACAGTTCACGCAGTGACCTGAGAAACAGTTTGTTAAAGTTGCTCCCTTTGCACCATTCCTCTCTGCTATCTCTCCCTCCTCGCTCTTGTCTCTCTCTGTCAGCTGGAACTCACACTTCAAATCTCTCTTTTTCATGTTGCTTCAGACCGTTAGGAGGTGGAGCAATGCATCAAGATTTGGAATTGCACCCCCAAAAATGTATTTTAATTTTGCATCTACCTGTTCTGTGCAGTCGAGATGCTTGGATGCGGCTCAATCACCAATTAAAAGTGATTCCCGTCAACCCAAATTATTCACGTTTTCAGCGAGTTGTATTTTGTAACTAGCTCTAAATTCCAGACTAAATACTGTCGGAAGTTATGTTACAAGATATTCGTAAATAATACACTTTATGAATAAATGTATAACCACTACTTATAATTTATAGTTAATGCGAATGATTTTTGCAAGAGTATTCTATTTCACGATCCTGTTGGATGATGTAAGGACTGCATTTCCTCTAAATTGTGTGAAGTCTCATTTTCAAGGGGTGAATAATGTCATATAGTAGCTTTGCCATTTAATACAGATGTTGTTGTAACTCATTCGTGCAATCATTGGGAAATAACAGATGACTGGCAATAAACGGTGTGATTTGGGATAAAGTAGTGCACTGTGAAACTTGTGCACGTCACACAAAAGTTGATCTGTTGGTCATCTTGGAATTCACATCTCATCTTGAAGATATAAAAGGTACATAGGCAGACAGTTCATGAGCCATAATCATAGCATCACCAACAACAATCATAATAATGATAATAATAATAATAAAAATAATAATAATAATAATAATAATAATAATAATAATAATAATAATAATAATAATAATACTTGGTTTTAGTGTTATTCCACAAAACAAAACGCTTTTGATGCCACATTAACGACGACTCTTTCACACAACTTGGTGTTTACTAGTTCGTTAAAACAAAGCAGTTGTACAAAACACATCAAGTTCTATGGTCGAAATGATCGCATGTTCGTATGGTTAAAAAAAAAAAAGTCGCTTCTATCATGAGCTGCTTATATTTATATATATATAAGGATATTCTCACACACACACACACACACACACACACACACATATATATATATATTTTTTTTTAATAATAACTTTTACAAACACAGAGGTCACGTAGCTTTAATTTCTGAGAAGTCGTGTGTATGAAAGGTGATTATATTCTTGTAGTATCTGTCTGCTGGCAGGCAGCTGGCTCTGCACAGATAATGCATGACCAGCCCATCACTGATAAAGACTCCCTTTCTCTCCCCCCAGGCCACGACTGCACAGACATCATCTTCAAGATCCAAAAATTGCGGTTGGTAGGCTCACTCAAAACCTTGATTCCAAGAAAAAGAGAACATTCTTTAAGGGTCTTAAGATCAAAGAGCTGTTTTCAAAAAACCCTGAGATCATTTGTGCTTTATTTTCTTATCTATCCAAAAAAAAAAGACTTTTCAATGGAGTAATAAAAGCCGTCATTTGTAAAAGCCGTCATAAAGTAACTCAGAAAGTATTCGTGTGTAAACCTTCGTGCATTTATAGAGTGGTGAGACCTGTGAAAAGTACTTTTTTTTGTTTTATGTGCCCACGTGTGGACACTCGTACGTGTAACGTGGGGATTCCTTGGTGGTTGATGGAACACTCTTTTTAAAATGTGAGCGCAGGGTCGAGACTGATTTCTTCTATAAGCTCGCTTTCACTCTTCAAACGGCAGCTCCAGCACCATACATTCTGACGCACATTTTCATCTGATTAAAATTAACCAATGAACCAATGAAGTTGCAGAATTTAGGCAGATGCAAGTGAATGAGAATAGCAGATTCAAAACATCAACTCAGCTGCTTGCACAACATGGAGAATATTAATATGAGTGCATGTGTAAATTTAATTCTGCAACCCCAAATGTAAAGACATTTTAACACATTAACTTAAAAATATGAATGAACTTTGACTTTTCGTATATGAAAAACAGGCATATATTCGTTTTTCATGTTGGATTAAGAAAACGAAAAACAAAATTATCAGTCTCCTTTTTAATTTTTTGTTTTCGATTGGCAGTTGAAAAACGAAAGAACGAATGGTACACGGATTGTTAAACCTGATATTTCTCAGTATAAATCCATATTCATTTCTGAAATACAAGAAAAGTAGCGAGCAAGAGTTTCGACTTGTGTCTACAGTGTTGCCGTCGTAGATTTTCGCGATACCTGTACTGAGTTAATGATCTGACAACCCCACCACCTGAAAACATCACTGCGAAATGTGAACCTGACCCGTTAGTTACAATTTACAATACTGAGAAAATATACTCTGAATAGTCGATAGAAACAGTGAAGTACGTTCTTTCACGGGCTCTCATTATTCTTACAGGGATCCTAGCGTAAAACATGCACTCACAACGTTTTCAGCAAAAACCGAACAAAAGTTGTCAGCGCCAGTGGCAACGTAAAATGGCTACCATCTGGCTTCATCCGCGTTATTAGACCGTAACGCTTGCCATACAATTTTTTTGACGTGTTAATTTTTTAAACTAATAGTACGTGTTGTGTGTGGTCCATTGTGTACTAAACGTACATGTCACAGGTGAAATTGTGTTAAAAAAATATCAGGGTTTAGTCTAAACATAGGCCTCACGGGATGTTGCGTATTGTTTCTTGGTTGCTATGGATCCCGAAAACCAGCACATCACGCCACGGACGCCTGAAAATAGGTAAATTACAACTGATAGGTGGTTCAGAAAATAGATTGATGGATGTAGCTTTTTCATAACTTGTGTGAGCGTGTTCAAAAATTGTCTTTTCCCCCCACGTGAACCCATTTAGCATGGATTATACAAAACGCTATCTGTAGGGAAATACAGCAGGCCGATTTAATGTGAATGCTGTATGCTCAAACTGTTATTTCCCCCATCTCACATTTATATTGTCCTGCCTGTTTTAGATCTTTCTCTGCACCAACGCACCTGATTCAAGCGATCAGTGCATTAGCAAGCTCTGGAGAACCCTGAAATGATCACGATCAATTGAATCAATTGTTTTGGATTAGGGAGAGCTCAAAACATGCAGGATATGGCTCTTAAGGAACCGGAGTTCCCTACCCCAGTTCTACAATGACAGTAAAGTAATTAATGTATTGAATACATCTGTAATCATAAACTCACAAATTCATTGGATTAAAGCGCATACACTGTACTCGTATATTGCAGATGTGATTTGTAGGGGGAAAAGACAGTGAGTCGAGAAGTGTAACGCACAGATGGAGATGTCGTCACACAGCAGAGTCAGGGGAGGGCTGCGGAAGCACCCTAGAGCCATACAGTACAGCAAGGAGACCCGGGACCTGCTGACATGTAAAATGCACAAAAGACATGCACTGTTTTGAAGTCAATATATTTCGTATCTATGCAGTTATATTTGTGGTGTCACTGCATGTACACGATTTGTATTCATCCCATTCTGTGCACAGCAATGATGCAGGAGTTCACTCTCAGCAACCTCCAAAGAAAACAGATCAGTGACTGTCTGAAGGGTAAGTCTTTTGAAGAAGCCAACAGTAGTGAAATAGTCCCGGTATATTTCATGAATGGGCATGGTGAGTCCACCATCCATCACTACAGCTGCTTTTCCAAGTCGTCTGCCTCATGAGGCCGATGTTCTGTGAACATCAAGTCGGAAAATGGTGAATTTCAGGTAAAACAGACCTGAAATTCACCATTTGCTTGACCTAATGCGTGTCCTAATGAGAAGCCAAGAGTCTCTTGTCTCATGGACAACTACAGTCTTGGATTGGAGGCGCTGGCAAGCGATGTCTGCCATCTAGTGCTGAACACTGTTGTTGCAACTTAAGATTGCTTTATCGTAAACATTTTTCATCCATCCGTTATCCAAATCCGCTTATCCTCATGAGGCTTGCGGGAGTTATCTCAGCTGTCTTCTGGCAGTTGTATGTATAGCCTGGGCTAGTTGCTAACCAAACGCAGTCGTAAATACAGTATTCATTCATTCATTCATTTTCCGATCCGTTTATCCTCACAAGGGTCGCCGGGGGTGCCGGAGCCTATCCCAGCCGTCTTCGGGCAGTAGGCGGGGACACCCTGAACCGTTTGCCAGCCAATCGCAGGGCACACAGAGACAAACAACCATCCGCGCTCACACTCACACCTAGGGACAATTTTGAGTGTTCAATCAGCCTGCCATGCACATTCTTAGAATGTGGGAGCAAACCGGAGTACCCGGAGAAAACCCACGCAGGCCCGAGGAGAACATGCAAACTCCACACAGGGAGGCCGGCGCTGGAATTGAACCCGGTACCTCTGCACTGTGAAGTCGACGTGCTAACCATTGGAACACCGTGCGCCGGTCGTAAATATTGTTTCTTTAAAAAAAAGTAATAATAATAATAATAATTGAGGGCCACAAGCACCACTTTGTTGACCCCTGCTATACAGTGCACTAGAATCAAAATATAAACTTAATGGCCTGAATGAGACACTATCAGAAAAGTATTTCTTACTGAGGTTGTGCAAGTCATTTACAGAAGTGTGAAACTGCACTGTGATGATGCCAGCTTTGCACTTTTGCTGCTAAAATACACACATTTCCGATCTAAATGACACCAAATTATTGTCGATGTCACAGTAAAAAAAGCAACACATGGCCGAGCTGCAAAAATGCATTATGAGTTGTGTTTCAAGTGCTTCGTGTCAAATCCTCTAAAAACCTTCAGTTCAGACTCAAGAGTATAATTCTTTGGTTAAGACGTCACAAAGTAACAGAGTAGCATTAATTGCAAAGGGTGAAGCCTTCAATGAATGATACTCACAAGTTACTACTGAATTTAGTTGTGTTTGACCCTTTCATTTTTTAATATTTTATATTTGATCTTTCCTACTGATCCAAAACATTGCCACAGTTACAGCACTTCTTACATTCATGGCTGGATTTGGGAACCCTGTAATATTGTTGCAATAAAATCTTAATCTTCCACCTACAGATGGCTCAGCCTTGCCACCGATCACTGAGTCTTTATCATCACTGTCCTCACTTCAGCTGAAAGCCAGTCAAAACTGCCAGAAACTTCTACCCGTTCGGCCTCTGAGACGGAGTGCCGTTTCTTGTCGCTCTGCAAACAACTATGTCCGAGAAAAGTTCTGTCCTGCTCCCACCAGTACGTTACCGAAGCCGCCCCCCCACCCCAAAAAAAAAATCTACACAGTAAGCTATAATGAAAAACATGAAAATGCACGTTCACATATGAATTTTGGGGGGAAAACAGTGAACATATAGTGGCTATGAAAAGTCTTCGCCCCTGTTCAAATGCAAGATTTTTGGGATATAACAAATGAGACCACGATAATCCATTCATTCATCTTTTATTTGAACCGCTTTCTCCTCACGAGGGTCGCGGGCGTGCTGGAGTCTATCCCAGCTGACTTCGGTCAGCAGGCGGGCTAGACCTGAACTGGTTGCCAGCCAATCGTAGATGATAATTCATTTCTAAATGCCGTTAACCTATAACAAATCAGGAGAGGGGAGGGGGGTATTTTAGAGTGAGGAAGTAGAAATAAACAACGGAGATAATGCGGTTCTAAGTGTGCACACTCTTATCGCTTGAGTTGTGGCCGTGTTCAGAACTAACCAATCATTTTCAAACTCATGTAAATGAGAATCAGAACACACCTGTCACTATTTAATGTGACTGATTCACCACGAGTAAACCTCCTTTTCTTGACATTGTTGTCCTCTTTAGCCGAAGCCTGAAGGTTTTGTGCTAACACTGGTTTTTGGAACTGTTCATAATTCCCTCTCCAAACAGCCCCAAAGCACGATGCTGCATCAACATGCTTTATCGCAGGTATGGCAGTGTTGTGTCTGTTTTTTGTTGTAGGATAAAACTCCCATCTCACCACTTGAACCCATAGAGCTGTCACGTACGTATTTTTCACACTTTGCTAGAGCTCCTTCAGTGTTGCTGTTTGTGTTTTTGCAGGCAGCATCCCTGACTCGTCTTTTAGTCCTCTCATCAATTTTGGAGACTTCTCAAATTTTTTTTCAATTTAGCTGTACAGATTATAGATTACATCAATGATGGGAAAGGTTCTGAAAAGATTTAGCATTTTTCTACAGTATATCACAAAAACCTGGCATTTGAACAGTGTAGATTTTATTCACTCTAATAAGTGTTACTGACTGGAGATTATGAGAACAAACCATTTCATCATTTCACAAAAATGCAAAAAAAATTTAATGGGTTGTGGGGAATACTTTGCACCAATTAATTTTCTGTAACTCCTCCAACATGATCTAGGAGACTTAGAAAAAGAGAAGAAAAGGCTTCAAAACATCTTGGCAACAGGACAAGAAGAGGAATATACAGCCTCCCAAAATGTTGCTGGCAATCGGAAGCCTGAAGTGACAGAGGAGACAGACCGCTATCAGGAAGGTAAAGATGTATGCACAAAGCACGGCTTCATGGAGTACGTACACTCTCAAGTTAAAACTTGGACCATGCTCGCAAGAGCTGCATCATTCTGGTGCTCAAGTGTCACGAGTTCAGAAATATGAGAGGGTGGCAATTCGTGGCGAGCTGGGAATGTGACGTGTGCGGTCATGCTGCTGCATTCTGTTCGGCTGCATATCATCGCTGAAGACAAACGGAGTAGGAGGTCCAGTAGGCAGACTTGTGGGTTATGGTAAAAATGTGTTCCCTTGTAGTTCTGGATGAGATTCAGGAAAGAAGACAATTCCTGGCTGATATGGCCTCATTAGGACAGGAGAGGCAGTATATCCACATCATGAACACAGAGATATCACAGGTAAACAATTCAGTGTCAAGATGCCTCCATTTAAACAATGACATTTATAAATGGTTTCAAAGTAGTTATTCATAAGAAATACTTCTGAACTGTATTCTAGAAAATCAGGGAACTGGAGCTGCTGAATGGCAAACATCCAAATCAGGAAGCGGTGTCTGAGCTGAACGTGGAGCAGAGATTGTGACATTTGCAAAGACAAGTTCACAGTGGCCAATCCGCTTTGTCTGAAGTGTGAGATGACATTTGCAAGAAATAAACAGTAGTGATGTACTTGTATCAACTTGCTTTATTTGTCCGCCTTCCAGTCTCACCATTATTTGTATTTTCTTGCTGCTGAAATTGCGGTTTAAAAAAAAAAAGGACATACGTGACACGGCAGAAGCGCCTTGATTCACTGAGGGAGATGATGTATCCAGTATAAACAGTTAAATACATGGCAGTTATGCACCTTATCTTTCCCACCTTATGCCAAAACACACGACTCACATTAAAATATAAATTAACACAGGGCTTTAAAAAAAGATGAAGTGTTGTTTTTCCGTTTCTAAAAATCAGATCTGCATGTGCGACATTTCAACACATTCATGAGAGTTTCTGAGAACTTTTCAACACTGTATTGTGTGGATCAACTGTTGTCCTTGCGAGGACTTTTTCCAGGTTCTCCTTTCTGACTCAGCCTCTTCAGAACCTTCATGGGTTTGAACTTTGCCCCTTTTTTCTTCTGGTGGTCTCCATCCGATTCCTTGTGGAAGTCTGATGAACGGGGGAGTTGAAAGTTAGTGAAAGTTAATGGAGGTTAGAATTACATCATCTTATTGAGAAAAAATATGTTTCATTAAAGAAATATTTATGGTCAAACACTTAAATACTGAAAAAGTCAACAAAAACGGTTTTATTCCCAGATACAATGAACATAGCCAAAGTTATCCCAATACTCTATTTAGATCAGAGGAGAAAGAGCCATGCACAAACTCCAGACCGGTTTCGCTGCTCTTGCAATTTCCAAAAATATGAGACAAATTCTATAATAAGCTCCAAAAGCAGCATCTTGGGTGACAGCCAATATGGCTTCAAATCAGCCAGTCACCTCCTCACTTTGATGGAATTAATGAAAACAACCACTGGTTTAGACAAGAAAAAGTGCACTTTTTCTTGAATTTTATAGACTTATAAAATCATTTTGCACTTTTAACTCATTCAATCCCAGCCATTTTCACTGGAGCAAACCCCTCAATCCCAGCGTTTTACTGGATTTGGACTGATCTTGCAAGGCCCACAGACTATTTGGTTCTAATGCTCTATAAACATGGAGCCTACCAAAATAAAGCTTGGCCTCTCTTCTTTTAGCAGACAAAAGGTTTTGTTTCTATCTTTTTCCATTCTTCAGCAATCGGCATTACAAAATGGCTAAGTTTCATGGAAATGGCGATTCCTGGGCAAAAAAATGAGAAAAAGAGCTTTTTGTAAAATCATGCATTTCAATCACGTGAGGCACCATTGCCACCTACTGGTCGCTTTTTTACATGATTTACAATGCAAACAGCTTATTCTCATTCACAGATTACATCAAACCCTCCTCCTCTCAACGACGCAAAAAAAAAAAAAGACTTAAGAGTACAAGTACTTCCTTGGTAGGCGGAACCTAATTTTAAAATGACTACAAGTACATCTTGTGCAATGAAAGAGTTAATCATTCCATTTTATTGAAAAACCTGGGAGAGACATGATGTGATAGGAGTGAATCTTAAATTTCTGAAAAGCTACTTGGGCAGTATTAGTTATCACTGTACATTTTTACTTTCTCTTTTTTTTTTTAATCTAAAATGTTCAATTTTACAGGAGAATTGATTTTGGTTATTATATACGACCTGCACATTTACGATGATACGGCATCATGCGAGTAAAACAAACAAATTCATTGATTCAATATTTTTTGATCCACAGCATATCCACATAAGCACAGGATGCCATCCTGTGCTTAATTCCCCAAAACGTTGGTATGCCTGAGCCAATTGTACAAGTCCTAAGGAAGGGTCTACGAGCCAAATATTGGCTGTAAATCCATCTTTAAAACGACAACAAAAACTGGAGTCAATGTCAAAACATTTGGTCGTGAATATACTTCCGTATCAATGGCATCACAACACATCAAGCAGGTGTGCCATCCTACCTTTTTTCTTCAGCACGGCTTCCATGAACTTATCTTCCTCTTCCTCCCTGTGAGAAATGTGCTGTTAGATTTGACAGTATAGCGGCATGTCATAAACCAGCAATTGACAAACAGGGTGCCTGCTCAGTTCATCTATCTATGCCAGCGACATGCAGTGACAAAGAGAACAATTAAATGCTCCTCCAATCAACTTGTTTGTCCCGATTGCCAGTCATACCACGGAAAAAGTCCAGGCTTCCTTAGAATTTGTGTATCAGTTTTTTGTTCAATTAAACAGTCTGAGCGTTCACACTGAGTAAGCAAGCAAGTTTTACCGTTTTTTTACATTTTGTTAACCTGCAATGATCTTAGATGTACAACAGAGGTCACTATTGACTGACCAACACAGTATCAATACAGTTTGTGTCAATACACTCCTTGAGGTATCGTCGACCCATCACGAGCGCCTTGGCTAAATAAATGCTGAAAAACACTCGAGGATTACCTTTGCCTGTCCTGATCCATGCTGTTGACTATCTGGTTGCGTTGTTCAATGATGGTGACCAGCTCAGCCATCAGCTGCTGCTCTCGGCTCTTGTCCTCCTCAGTCCAATCTTTCTCTGAGGAGAGGGGCAACATGGACTCATTGTAACTTTTTTGTACAGTTGAATAAACATAACTTGGTCACTGAAAATGGAAAACACTTGAATTAAAAAAAAAAAGCCAGTCTGTTTTTCACCTGATTTTTATTTTATTTATTTTTTATGAAAGGTGGTATAATGTATCATAATTATTTAAGAGCTTTTTTTTTTTTTGGTGTGTCAAATGAGCAGTTTATTTCTCTGCACAGCAGCAGAAGCCAAGTGAATGCTTGGCATGGTACATCTGGATAGCATTAATGTAGCTTATTTCATATTTACATCAAGCTGATATGATATTAATAAACACAATAGGCACATCCTGTGCTGCCACACAGGAAGGCTGCAGTCACGCTCAGATGGAGCAGATGAGCTTTGCGCAGCTTTGAAACCCAAGCAGATGGATAACAAAGGAAGGCTTCTCTTGAGCCTTCGGACCAACCTGGTTTGTTGAGAAGACACCTCAGCTCATATTCCACGTCTGCCTGTCTCTCCTCCAGGTTCTGCTGCTTCGCCCTGTCAGGAGCATTCAACACATTGAGTCACAAAGGGTAAAAAAGAAACACAGCCTCTTCTGACAGGAAGCAGTTCAAAATGTGGATGATGGTTTCATACTGAGGTCACAACATTCTAACAATTGCATCTCGCTGCATTCTGAGGCTTACGTGTAGACCAGCTCAGCTTCACGCCGGACTAACTGATGTTTCTCGTGAATGAGTGTGAACCAGTCAACCAAGAGGTGCTCCTCATCCTCATCTGAAAGCACATACAGTCACCCCTAAAATTCTTCGGAATCATCAGCAAAATCATCGACACGGCTGAACTGAATTTGACCTTCTGGAAATGTTTCAATCCGTATGTCCAATAGTTCAACATTTCAGTATTATTATATATATATTTTTTTGCACAACTTGTTGAAATTTTCCCAGGGTGTCCACGTTTCTCTAACTCTTCCAGTCTTTTTGCATCTCTGTTGCAACCTGCTGATGACACTCTTAAGCTCAGTGGCCACTTCCCTCTGAGAACATCCTGTTGGAAGTCTTGCAATGGCAAGGTACAGTTGATGAACCGTTAGGCTTTGTCTTAGTCTCATGATCTCAACATGTGAACAGCATGATGAAGAGGAAAGATATCACCCTATTCATTTCTCAAGCACCCGTTCAAGCTCTTTGTTGGAGAGCAGCAAGTTGAGCAAAACAAATGGCCAAGCATTGAAACATTGGACATGTGCATTCAAAGATTACAGAGGGTCCAATTATTTTTAACTGCTAAGTTTATAGTGCAGTTTGGGTTCCTCTTGAAATGTCAGAGCCAGATAACCCCAACTTTTGGTGAGTGGTGTCATGTGTTGTGTTCTGATCTATTTTCGTGACAAAGAGAATCCTTGTGGAATGTTCCTTTTGCACAGCCTCAGAACAAATTGTTTCAGATCAATCAAATTGCTGAGAGCCACTCTGGTTTCATACCATTGGGGTTGTCTCTGAGCTTCTTCTCCAGTTCCACGCCTCTTAGCTCCAGCTCATCCAGTCGTATCTCCAGCTGACTCATCTCCCCGTGGATGTCTTCCACTGGGATGTACTGATCTGATTGTACCTGGTCAGTATTTACATGGCGGCGACCACTTCAGTGCCACGTTTGAAATACTCTCTTTAAAAAAATGTCCAAGTGTTTGTACCTTGCGTTTAATGAGCGGGAAGCCATGACCTGGAGCTGGGGGTCTGGAAGGACGAGGACCTTTTGGGGGTTTGCTTTCGGATTTACCACAGGAAGGAGAAACTTTCCTGTTGAATGGATTTTCCTTACAAATGCGCTAAAAAAAAACAAGAAAAATCAGTAGTCTTCATGAATGGTCTGTATTTGTAAATGGTTCTGTTACCTTGTTGTGCGAAGAGGTGGCCCCTGAGGCTAATGGGCTGGGCGTGGTTGCTGGCCGTGGGGGAGAGGGTCCAGTCGCTTTGGTCTCGTGGCTGCGACTGACCTGCGGGGTGGCAGGTGCGGAGCTTGCATTTGATGCCGCGGGAGATGCACTGGGGCCCAAGCAAGAATGAGGCAGGCGCTCAGTGGAAGAGGAGGAAGGCAAGGCGGATGATGGCGAACAGATGGAAGGTTCGGAAATGCTTTTGGTGAAACTGGGTTCCTGGTCACTGCCTCCACCGGAGGCCGAATGGGGTTGGGAGGAGCTGTGTTCGGAACCAGAAGACAGACTCTCCACACTGAGAGCTGGAGAGCAAGAAGATTGCAGAGAATGTGGGTGAACTGAGGGGTAAACAGGGAAGGACGAGGAAGAATAAACCAAGGGGGCAGAAGTAAAACAGGTTTGAATGTATATGGAATAGAATGGAAAGATTTGAGGGGGCAGAAACACAAAACACTGTGAAGAAATTTCAATCAATTGAAGGAATTTGACAGTAAATGCCCCAGGATGGCTCCACAAGTGATTCTTTAGCAGGCTTTTGAAAAAACAAAAACATCATTACACAGAATAAATTCACGGGAAAAGTAGACAAAGATCACAAAGCGTCATCAGCGAGGCAATGACGATGAGTGAAATAATGC